ACCCATTTCTGGTGTCGAAACCCTCACACGTCCATCTTATGCAGACAGTCGGCATTCATTTCCAAGATCAACAAGGGAAATGTGAATCGAGGACTTGATCCAATAACCTTACCATGTCAAATATATGGTATTACGGAATCGAACCGCTGCGCCTACCAGGCTACCTTAATCTGGCTAGTCCAATCTAAGTATCTAATACACGTTCCAACAGTTTTGGTGCCTTATGAGTACAGTGTGGCCTGAAATCACTCATGGGCAATCTGAGTTCCGATTAGCAGCTGGATTGTAGCATTGTTTCATGAATTTCAGGCACATGTTGTAAGTTGTAAATTTTCAATTTCAGTCCACAACAGTCCTAGTGGCAACTTTTAGAGCTACAGTGCCTTCCCTGAGCATAATGATGACAGCCCCACCCAATAGGATGCAAGATATGGACCTAAGCTAATACTTTTGTTTGGAGAAAAAAATTCTTTTAGGTCTGTAGGTGATTTTAGAAGATGGGTCTCCCGCCAAAATAGTATGAAATGGGCCTCTTGAGCGGCGGACGGACCGTTAAAATACTCTATATATTTATGACCCCGATCCACGAAATACCCCCCCAAAATTCGGGTGGAATTTGGAATTCTTGGGACAAAGCAAAAATTTCAAAAGACACCTACGGACCTAAAACCTTTTCAAAGCGCTAGAGAATACTTTGCCCATCCCTTGTGAAAAATCCCAAGTTCATAGGGGGTGTTATAGGGGCTCCAATGCAGAAAACAACTTTCTGGTAACGGCTAAAAAAACAGCCGTTAGTCAAATTGACTCAATTGACTTGATATTGACTCGTGTGATTGCCAAAAAAAACTCAAGAGGCCAGAGGCTGATCTCGTACCATACGACCTTGTTGCGATTACATTCTTAGATAAATTTCAATGCGATATTATAAGTATATATATTTTCTAGGATTGGGTCCACTCTGAATTAGAGATCTTTGTGTATATCGATCTTATTTCAGGCCATTCCACAAAGTCAATTGAAAAGTAGGAAAGAGAGAAAAAAATTATGCTATCCTAGATTCTTTTTTCCGCCATAGCCCTCCAAACCACCACCCAAATTCGATTACTATATATATTTTGACCAACTTTGAACTTGGTGCCATCGTGTCAGGGTATCGACTCGGCTACTGAGAAGGGTTCCAGCCACATTGTTTCATGAACCTGGATTGATCCCAAAAGCAGTGTGAATGCTATTCAATCACTTTTACCTAGAAAATGTCCACTCCAAAGCCACCAATCTTCTCATGCATACCCATGGACGACAAATATGTGTTAGAACAAGGCATTTTTAGGAAATCCGGCCCACACCACCACCAAGTGGCTTTTTGGACCAGATTTCCATGATTTCTAACCCCGTTTGGGCGGCATGATTCTTAATCTAGGCGGAACCATTGCCTGGGTCCCAGAAAATTTAAACAATAGGCATCCAAGGGAGGCTCTGGTGTATTGTTGAATGGTTGGCTGTCTCCAGGGCGGCCACGCCGACCTTCATGCTGAAAGGGGAACAGACAGCACCAAACACTGGAATTCCAATATCTCAACAAGTATTCATAACAAAACACAACCGAATGGATCCCCGAGTAGGTAGGATCACTGCCGAGCTTTCCAGCACATGTTGAATGGGAGGCACTGGCCCTCTTGACTTTCTGCCGACCAGTTTCGGTAGCCCAACAGAACCAGTCGAACGAAACAAGGTAGATTGTAGTGTAACTGAGGCAAATAGAAGTATGAATGGCCGCTCCAGCCATAGTCTATCTATCAAATACGCTTGCCACAACATGTGCTTCACTTTTTACTTCTCTGGGCGTCCACACTGGCCAGTCCAAACGAGGGGAACCATCGCACCATGGCACCTTGATGTGCTCCAAATCGTCAATTTTGGTAGTTCGACACTCCGAACGAGTCTCTGTGTAGATATTGTCTTGATGGTGACGGTAGATATGAGTCGCACTCGGCAAATACGTCTTCTTGACACCTATCCGTCCAGTCCAAGCAACCAACGGAACCAATCATGGTGGATTATTGTGTGATTGCGGCCCAGAAAAAGATGTTCAACATAATTACTGCCGCTCCCGACGTAACATATATATCAACTATGGTTGCCACAACCTCTGATTCCACTTTCTCTACTCATGGGGTCCAGGCCGTGCAATTTCATTGTGTCTGACGAATTTGCAACTCAATGGTCTGGGTTGAAAATTGTCCTGTAGGAACCCAGATAGAGAATATAGAATGGTATCATTGCCGTTAGTATAACAACATAAGCAACTTCCGCAGAACATTCTAGCTCTATGTTGCCTTGGGACTTCGTAGACGTCCCGAAACCTCTCGAAAAGTAGTTTTCGTACCTTGTTGAGGTTCTTTAGCAGTGATTTCAGAGGTGAGAATGGCAAATGCATCCATATCACTTCATACAAACAAGGTGGATTCGGGTACGATACAGAGAATGTCCGCGACCCACGAGTTTTCCTCCAGAGGGTGATGCTTTCCTCGGCCTCGAGGCTCACCATTGCCGACGGAAGGAAAATTTGATGTGGTTGAAGAATTCTCAACGGGCGAGCGCATAGAAGTGCGCAATGGGTTCTGAAACTGATGACGTACGGAAAAAACCGGGTTCGCGCGCAAATTCCACCAAGTGCCTCGTGGAAATTTTCCGTACCGATGGAACCAAAATGGCATCCAAGACATCACCTTTGTCAACATTACCACTACAGTACTGAGGGAATACGTAACAAAGCTAACATATTACCTACATCCAAGCCTATACTACATTACCTACGACTCTTCGTCTTCTTTAATTCATTCCATTCTCTCCACAGTGGCAGTCTTCGCCATTCTCATCAAGCAACATCTTCATCAATTGCCATCAGCAACTGCCACAGCAACATGGAAACCATAGTAGCTCTCCAACATAACAATCAACAGACCTTAGACCTTGGGGACAAAAAAAGGGAAGGAAAGGGAAGAGGAATCCTTCATTCGGTCGTGTCGTTTCCAGCCTCTTCCTTATTTTCGAATTTGTTTCATTTTCTCGTCGATAGCTATCACACCACTTCTCTGACCTTGCATGATTGCAAATCAAACCCCATTGCTCTTCTGGAACACGTGTTGTAGATGGTGTCTGTGATGTAGCCGGCGTAGTTACCTTCTTTGGCTTCCATTTCGCCCTCAATCATTGTCCCATCGTGAGTGGTGATGCGAATCAGTTGATTCATCATCCCGCAATCAAAAATTGTCGCAAAGTACTTTCGAGCATAGGGCTAAAATCCCCGAAAAATTGCCCTTTGCACTGTCTTATTGGCGTTAAAATACCACGTATTCTAAAAATGACCATTTTTAAATTCTGTGGTGATATTTTTTTAGAAAAGCCCGAAAGTGGGTATGGGAAGGGGGGGTTTTTTGTGGATCGGGGTCTTATATTACAAATTCTACACGTATTTGGCTACTAAAACCAGTAGTGGCATGTTTTTATAACGACAGTACTGTACGACTACTGATCTATCAAGAAAGAAAAGATAGAACGATGAGACAAGAAAACAAAGCTGCACAATCGGGATGAGTGAAGTAGTCACCATTAGCAGTGACAGTGGCTGATGGTACAAATGTATAACCCGTGCTAGTTCAGCAGCTACAAAACAAAGAAGGATGTACCAAGAATCTGCTGCTAGATATATTATACTACAATGAGATAATACAAAGCTCTTCCTAGCTTGTCGAGTACAAACATTATTACAAATGCCTTCTGTGGACGTTTATTCGGCAAACGAACAAACGCGCAAAAAGTAGAATCGAACTTATCACTTTGATCACATCATCATTTTACGAAGAGTCTACTTGGTAGCTCTGCTGCTTGAGACCTACCTTGTCGCACTTGGCAAAGAACGAAACAAAGCGCAAATCGACAATCCGCTCCTTTTAAAATTAGATAAAACAGACGCGAACGGACAATTCGCTCCTAAATTTAAGCGCGGATTGAAAATTGACTACAAATTTATAAGCGTGAATTGAAAATTCGATACAAACTTAAAAGCGCGAATTGAAACGATAACACACTTTCAAACTTGAATTTCGTCCTGTGTACAGCAGAAGGCGCCTGTAACTACTGTATGCATTGTGTTGATAATCCTTCAAAGCTTTCGCCAGGACGCTTTCAGTACCCGGGCCGTCGCTGATCTTCGCAGATTACGCGAAATGCGCGTTGAGTTTCTCAAGGAGGGAACGAAGTTGACTACGGAAGGATTGACTGCGAATCCGGAGTCAAATATTACCAGGTCGAATCTACATTCACAGGTAAGTGCGGTAGGTTAATGAACGTCGCAAATGACTTCATGTTTTGGACCGTAGTTCGAGGTGAAAGGCAAGCTGTGAAGCGGGGCCAACAGCACAGTCGCAGAAGAGTATGGGTGCGGAAGCGTTTGCAAATTTAGTAGTCACGATAATATACTAAGAACCAAGTCGAGAGAAGAGTTATAACTTGAATTCAAATCGAAACTAGGAGGGTTGTAGTTAGGTGGCTAGGTATTATGTCGATACTCATCATCCCATTTCATCGTCACACCCGCTACCCGAGCGTGAGAATCAGCTCAACGGATGTTTGCCGTTTTCGACTGTGACTTGTTGGAGTGGCGTGGTTGGCGTGGAATGATCATACTACGTCATGGGGCTGTTACCAGGTACACATCTCTGTGAATTCACTAATTAATTAAATGCTTCAAATGCCACCTCCTCGACCAATTGAGTATCTGCTTTTTTACAAATAAATCCAATAGCGGTCATGGCTATAGGTTTAAGCGAGGTCATAAAGAGCCAGAAGGAGACATAAAGAGCCAGAAGTGGTCATACTGGGGCACCGAATTTTGTCACCTTTCGTCGGAAGTTTTGGCTTTTTATCGCAAACCTATCCTTTGACAGCAACATTAACTTTACACATATTTCTTACTTGTGCTCATTTTAGAAAGTACAATGATGATGATGAAGATCATAGCTGCTGCCTTCGTTGCAAATCTCTTCGTGCCTGGCATTGGTGCTACCCCAATTCCTTGCAAAAACAAACTTAGACGATTTCGGAAACTTGCCGATGACGGTTGGAGCGGTATTCTTCAATCATGTGCTGGAGTAGAATACGAGACTTCTCTCTTTGTTCATAAGCATGTTTTCGTGGTATCAACACCCGTCTCCAAAGAAGGCAGCTCTGATTGTCCAAACTTAGCCATGGAACAGAGCGATGCCCTTGCAAATGCAACCGACACTGGTTTTGGAATTCGTAGTGTCAACGTCCACGAGTTCACTCTTCCCACTGGTATTGATCCAAGAGACCTCCCACATTTGTCGATTGGCACTTTTCCCCTTGCCGACATCGCCAGAGCATTCGACACTGTCAAGGCCCAAGTTGATTCAGATCCGGACAGCATGAAAAGTTATGACATCGTCATGGAGAACTGCGGTGACTTTCCGGCTCGCATGATGTCCCTATTGCAGGTTAGTTTCGATCCTGAAATGGTCCAGTTCCTCGCCAAGCGTCTTCAAAAGACATACCATACCCTCGCTCGAGAGATACGCGCCAATCGCAACGCAGCGAACATATTGGCCGCAAAGAGCACTCTTACCGAGCTCACAGATCTGCAATTGATCGAGTTGCTCGTAGAGTCAAAGGTGAAGTATCTGTACAGTCCATCAACAAGACCGCTTAGCGATAGCTATAATGATCCCTCTGCTCAGGGTCATCGTTTGCTGCTTTCCAAAGAGCAGGAGAATGAGCCAGCTGCTGACGCTAGACGCCTTGCTGATGTTGCTTGCGGCCAGTGGTACTCTTCTAGCTGCCTTGCAGAAAACGATATTCGTTACGATTCTACCGCTTCGAATGCTATTGCCGACCAGAACTCTGCATGGAAAAAATTCGAAGGAGCATATGGTCCTGATGGCCGAGTCATTGAGCCAGCTTTCATGGAAGAAGATGCGGCTACCTTTGCTCCCAATCAAATGCCATACTCACAAGCCCCCTACAAAATGTTCATCAACATCACCTTGAGTGGTTCAAGACTATACGAACAAATGCACACGATCCACCCTCCCCCTCCCGAAGCCTTTTGCAACCAGATTGTTCCAGAGGGCAAGCAGAATGTCCTTTTGCCAGGCGAATGCGGGTGGAGTGGAACTGCTGGTTTCTATGAGCGCTTTGGAACAAGTACCTTCGAAAAGGACGGAAGCGTCACCATGTTGCCCTTTGGGTCAACCATGCTGGGCACCGAGCTTGATCGCAAGTCGTATGTTAGTCTTCCTGCAGGTGACAGCAATCATTTCTCGAGCTACTTGGAAGGTGGCGTCCTCGTACAGTATGCTTCGGCATGTCTTGATGCCGAATGCAATCAGCTATCCACTACTATTTATCAGTATAACACCTCCACATCAAGCGGCGAAGAGTACCAATTTTTGGCGTCCACCCGCGTGTTTGCCACCCGAATTGCATCCACTCAGCAGTTCCGTGATGCACTCGAGTCTGCCTACCTCGAGTACAATGTACCGTCTGATCAGAGACCATTTGAAGATGGGTGTCTCTCTGGCTACTGTCCTGACGAAGGCGATTGGTGTGAATACGATCCCGAGTGTGCTGTCTCTCCGTATTCCGAACCAGAAGCATCCGTCCTGGCGGGACCAGTTGTTGGTGTTGTTTTGGCTGTCACGGTTTTGATATTCCTCGCTTTGTTCACTTTGCACAGGCGTCAAATGAACCAAAAGGAAGCCATTGTGCGCACCATGTTTGCAAGTCGCATTGCCGAGGGCATCAAACTCCACGGTGGTAATGATGGTTCATCGTCTTGTCTCTCTCCGGATGAATTGCTTGCCGAGTTTCACAAGATTGACCAGGACAAAGGGGGCTCCATCGACAAAGAAGAGCTTTGGGCATTCTTGAATTCTGGAACAACGGTTGGTAATATGAGTCGCACTGATTTTGATCTGCTGTTCTCTGTGATTGATTTTGATCAAAGCGGCAGCGTCGACTTCAACGAGTTTGTTTCGTTCTTTGCCAAGTGCGACAAGGAAGGTCTCAAGCAGCAGTGCTACCAAGTAGACTCTTCGTAAAATGATGATGTGATCAAAGTGATAACATAGATAGTTGTTTCAAGTTCGATTCTACTTTTTGCGCGTTTGTTCGTTTGCCGAATAAACGTCCACAGAAGGCATTTGTAATAATGTTTGTACTCGACAAGCTAGGAAGAGCTTTGTATTATCTCATTGTAGTATAATATATCTAGCGGCAGATTCTTGTTACATCCTTTGTTTTGTAGCTGATTTCGAACTAGCACGGGCTACATTTGAATCGTCTTGCTGTTTGTTGCACTCATTCATCAATCGCGAAACGCAACAACTTGGGCTCAACATCCGATCACGCAAATTGACACTCGAAATGTGATCTGCTATCTTGCAGATTTGATGAGTAAACCTAACGAATTGAGAATTCTTTGCATGATACTGTGGTTGTTTCGGTGATTGTGAGAAACCATTTGGTACTTGGACATCAAGCTACTACCTCTTGATGCAAAACAGTTGTCAGACAAGTCTACGCTACTGCTTTGAAAAGGAAAGTCGAATCTCTCAATTTTGAAGTTCGTCAAGTGAACAAAAGTGTGAAAATCTGCTTGAGACTTGGTCCCGTGGTTTCCAGCGACTTTTGATTTGATTGATTGAATCTTGGAAAAACAGTCAACAAAATGCTTTGCGAAAACAGAAGTTGACTACACTCTTTGGTGGAGAAGTTTCTGACAATGAAATCAATCCAAGTAAATTGGATCCAAAGATTCAAGGTTCGTATCAAATTACTTGTGTGCTTACTAACGAAGTTGATGAAATCCGCAGAAGTCCTCAAGTCTTTGAGAGACTGAATGCTGAGAATATCAGCTGGGTTGAGAGCACTGTCAATGTGGATAATAGATAGCATGTTAGCTGCTACTGCTTCTCTCACACGCTGGAATGACAATGCAACATCTTGATTGTGTAGCTTAGCTTCAGGTAGGGAAGAACTGTTCATGACAGATTCATTGTCACCAAACATGTAGCTTTGACCTCTGATCGGCACACCACACTTCTTGGTACCTAGACTTGTCTGACAACTGTTTTGCATCAAGAGGTAGTAGCTTGATGTCCAAGTACCAAATGGTTTCTCACAATCACCGAAACAACCACAGTATCATGCAAAGAATTCTCAATTCGCTAGGTTTACTCATCAAATCTGCAAGATAGCAGATCACATTTCGAGTGTCAATTTGCGTGATCGGATGTTGAGCCCAAGTTGTTGCGTTTCGCGATTGATGAATGAGTGCAACAAACAGCAAGACGATTCAAATGTAGCCCGTGCTAGTTCGAAATCAGCTACAAAACAAAGGATGTAACAAGAATCTGCCGCTAGATATATTATACTACAATGAGATAATACAAAGCTCTTCCTAGCTTGTCGAGTACAAACATTATTACAAATGCCTTCTGTGGACGTTTATTCGGCAAACGAACAAACGCGCAAAAAGTAGAATCGAACTTGAAACAACTATCTATGTTATCACTTTGATCACATCATCATTTTACGAAGAGTCTACTTGGTAGCACTGCTGCTTGAGACCTTCCTTGTCGCACTTGGCAAAGAACGAAACAAACTCGTTGAAGTCGACGCTGCCGCTTTGATCAAAATCAATCACAGAGAACAGCAGATCAAAATCAGTGCGACTCATATTACCAACCGTTGTTCCAGAATTCAAGAATGCCCAAAGCTCTTCTTTGTCGATGGAGCCCCCTTTGTCCTGGTCAATCTTGTGAAACTCGGCAAGCAATTCATCCGGAGAGAGACAAGACGATGAACCATCATTACCACCGTGGAGTTTGATGCCCTCGGCAATGCGACTTGCAAACATGGTGCGCACAATGGCTTCCTTTTGGTTCATTTGACGCCTGTGCAAAGTGAACAAAGCGAGGAATATCAAAACCGTGACAGCCAAAACAACACCAACAACTGGTCCCGCCAGGACGGATGCTTCTGGTTCGGAATACGGAGAGACAGCACACTCGGGATCGTATTCACACCAATCGCCTTCGTCAGGACAGTAGCCAGAGAGACACCCATCTTCAAATGGTCTCTGATCAGACGGTACATTGTACTCGAGGTAGGCAGACTCGAGTGCATCACGGAACTGCTGAGTGGATGCAATTCGGGTGGCAAACACGCGGGTGGACGCCAAAAATTGGTACTCTTCGCCGCTTGATGTGGAGGTGTTATACTGATAAATAGTAGTGGATAGCTGATTGCATTCGGCATCAAGACATGCCGAAGCATACTGTACGAGGACGCCACCTTCCAAGTAGCTCGAGAAATGATTGCTGTCACCTGCAGGAAGACTAACATACGACTTGCGATCAAGCTCGGTGCCCAGCATGGTTGACCCAAAGGGCAACATGGTGACGCTTCCGTCCTTTTCGAAGGTACTTGTTCCAAAGCGCTCATAGAAACCAGCAGTTCCACTCCACCCGCATTCGCCTGGCAAAAGGACATTCTGCTTGCCCTCTGGAACAATCTGGTTGCAAAAGGCTTCGGGAGGGGGAGGGTGGATCGTGTGCATTTGTTCGTATAGTCTTGAACCACTCAAGGTGATGTTGATGAACATTTTGTAGGGGGCTTGTGAGTATGGCATTTGATTGGGAGCAAAGGTAGCCGCATCTTCTTCCATGAAAGCTGGCTCAATGACTCGGCCATCAGGACCATATGTTGTTGCAAATGCTTCATAGAATCCTTCGAATTTTTTCCATGCAGAGTTCTGGTCGGCAATAGCATTCGAAGCGGTAGAATCGTAACGAATATCGTTTTCTGCAAGGCAGCTAGAAGAGTACCACTGGCCGCAAGCAACATCAGCAAGGCGTCTAGCGTCAGCAGCTGGCTCATTCTCCTGCTCTTTGGAAAGCAGCAAACGATGACCCTGAGCAGAGGGATCATTATAGCTATCGCTAAGCGGTCTTGTTGATGGACTGTACAGATACTTCACCTTTGACTCTACGAGCAACTCGATCAATTGCAGATCTGTGAGCTCGGTAAGAGTGCTCTTTGCGGCCAATATGTTCGCTGCGTTGCGATTGGCGCGTATCTCTCGAGCGAGGGTATGGTATGTCTTTTGAAGACGCTTGGCGAGGAACTGGACCATTTCAGGATCGAAACTAACCTGCAATAGGGACATCATGCGAGCCGGAAAGTCACCGCAGTTCTCCATGACGATGTCATAACTTTTCATGCTGTCCGGATCTGAATCAACTTGGGCCTTGACAGTGTCGAATGCTCTGGCGATGTCGGCAAGGGGAAAAGTGCCAATCGACAAATGTGGGAGGTCTCTTGGATCAATACCAGTGGGAAGAGTGAACTCGTGGACGTTGACACTACGAATTCCAAAACCAGTGTCGGTTGCATTTGCAAGGGCATCGCTCTGTTCCATGGCTAAGTTTGGACAATCAGAGCTGCCTTCTTTGGAGACGGGTGTTGATACCACGAAAACATGCTTATGAACAAAGAGAGAGGTCTCGTATTCTACTCCAGCACATGATTGAAGAATACCGCTCCAACCGTCATCGGCAAGTTTCCGAAATCGTTCTTTAATTTTGTTTTTGCAAGTAATCAGATGTGCACCAATGCCAGGCACGAAGAGATTTGCAACGAAGGCAGCAGCTATGATCTTCATCATCATCATTGTACTTTCTAAAATGAGCACAAGTATGAAGTATCTGTACAGTTAATTTTGCCGTCAAAGGATAGATTCACGATGAAAAGTACTTTATCGCAATGCAGGGAACAATCAAAAGTTCCGATGAGAGGAGGGTAAAAGTCGGTGAATGACCTTCTTTTTTAAATTCTCGCCCTGATCAGATCATGAAATTTATCGCCATCAACGTGGACCGGTACAGTAGGGTACAGTACTGTGTACCGGTACAGGGTACAGTACTGTGTACCGGACGATCAGGAGTGTAAAAGCGAGCCGGATATGAGGTTATTGTTCGACTCAATGAAGTTAAGAAGAACAATAGAATAAATAAGACGAGATTGGATCACATCGCCAACAATAGATCGGCTTGGCCGCTGAAACGAATGAGCTGGACGGCAGCACGGGAATACCGATACTGTAAGGTTGCGCTTTGTGATCCTGGTAGGCAGAATGAAAGAAATGAGGACTGGATTCTTGAAAGTACTTCGATATTTCCATATATCCGAGTTTTAGATACATGGCAACCTCTCCTTCTTGGCTGTGGTCCTGCGTGCTGGAAGGACTATAAGACCCCTTTTTTCAAAGGTCGCGGATAGAGGCGAGCCTTTTGCGCCGGAAGAGGCACAACCGCTCCTACTGTACAGAATGGTACTAAGATCCGAGCGAATGAATTGAGAATGTTGTTCCATATGCGCCAGTACTTTCCGTATAAAATGTGCTGGTACTTATTTTATAATATTGGTACAGTAGAAATCCAAAATCTCATTTCAAAAACACCCGAAAAATCCAGAGAAGCATCATTGATATTTATATCAATAATGATGACTTTAGGAGGTGGAGCTAAAAGAGGATCATTATTGCTGACAATGGAAAGAGCTATGTTGTTGGTAGCGAAAAAGGATTCGATAGTTTGCCATCTGGTAAATTTGAAACCAAGCGTCGAGTGTTGTATTCCACGTCGACTATGCATTTGCCGATGGTGGAACCTACACATAGTAATACAGCCGGTGAGAATAATGATGAAGCCAACTAAATAAATTACCAGACGAGGAGGAGAATGCCAACAAGAAGAAGGAAAAGAGCAGTCAAGGAGACCACTAATACCAACAACAACAACAACAACAACAACAACAACAACAACAACAACAACAAGGACAAAGCAAGGACAAAGTAGCTAGTTGAAGAAGCTATATACAGGAAGAAACCAAAGTACGCAATAATGACGAAATAATCGTCATTAGTAGTGACAGTGAGGCTGAAGAAGCAAGCAATCGTCCTACAGAGCGGGCATTTTAAAAAGCATCATGGGAAGAGTATTGACCAAACAAAACCAACATGTCAAAGCCCGTGTCATGTACCAACAGGCTCTTCTTGCTTTTTATTTGGAAGCTTGCTGCGCCGGGGAAGGCCATAAAGATGTCGGAGTTACATGCAGACGAATTGCAAAAGGTTTGGAACTTCAGGTCAAATAGGAAGAGTTGGGTGCTGCGAGAATGAAGCACGTGGTCACTCAAGCGATCGGTCTATACAGTAGTTATGTGGTGGACACTTTCGACAACATAAAGTTTGTTTCAGAGGTAGTTGGGTTGAATTTGCCTCTACATACTATCGAAACGAGGTAACGATACGAGGTACGATGCGACCTTCGACCTACCTTCAGTACCACTCAAAGTACAGGTACAAATAAGTAACATACTGCTTGTACAATATTTGGGGCTAAATCAGTGTTTCACGGATCGAACGGGTCCATTTTGGCATCAAAATTTGGGGATAGATGATGAGGTTGAGGGAAATCCGCAATTACCTTATCGTGTGCGATGACGATGGAAGACATTCTCGATTTGTCTATCAGTCACAATATGAGTTTCTTGTCAAGTTGTTGTTGCAAGAAGGATCAGGCAATCACCTCTAACAGAAAAAAGAAGCAAGAGAGCATCATTTCAATCCGCTTAGTCTTGTTGATCACCATTCTCTTTGCATCTATCATTTACTATCTTTTGTTGAAGGCTTCTCAGAATTTGCAGATTTGACAGCAGCAAATTATTCAACACGCGCCGCCTACACGTTTATATACTGCATAAGAATCAGCAGCTGATTCCATGATTGGTCGCCCCCGAAGCCTCCTTTGGACCTTGACTTTACTGGCTTCCTCCACTTCACCAGCATCTCTCTTCCGAAAGCAGCCAGCTGGATTGTTATTATTAGCGTCTGCCTTTACCACCACCACCACTGCTTCTGCCATCGCTTTCAAGTCTGGCATCAGTCAACGACAAGCTACTTATTTTACTTCAGCAAGAACTACTTTGACTATGGCCAAATCTTCAGACGACGCTCAGAAGAAAATCAAAAACATTGTGGTTGTCGGGGGTGGAATTCAAGGCACTTCGGTAGCCTATCAACTCGCTAAAGCTGCTGCTTCTTCTGCCAGTGATAATGACACCAAGATTACCATTTTGGAGGCCAAGGCGGTAGCTTCTGCTGCTTCCGGCAAGGGTGGTGGATTCATGGCTCGTTCCTGGGGTGACGGAAGTCCCACTCAAGGCTTGCACGAATTGGCCTTTGACATGTACGAAGAATTGGCGGCGGAGCTAAAGTGCGAGTCCTATCGCAAGCTTCCAGTCATATCCGTCTCACCAGGACGAGGCAGCCAATCCTTTCAATCCAATGATCCAATCGTTCCCAATTGGTTGGATGGGAACGTGGCTCGAATCTCCCCCATGGGATATGGAGAAGATACTGCCCAAATCACACCCAAGGAATTTGTCGAGCAAATGCTCCAGCATGCGCCAGGAATCCGAGTGGTTTTGGGAAAATGTACCGGAGTCGAGACAGCTGGAGACGAAGGAGAGGAGCAAATTACTGGAGTGAAATACATGAATAGTAGTCGTGACAGTGACGAAGAAAAGACTCTGCCTGCGGATGTGGTGGTGGTCTCGGCTGGCCCTTGGTCGTGCCAAGCAGAAGATTGGTTTCCGAATGCAGGTCTCGAACTGCCCATGGAGGGTATCAAATCTACTAGCATTGTTTGGAACAAGCCGGAAGATAGGGATGTCGATGCTACAGCCTTGTTCTGTGGCGAGAATTCCAACTTTGGAACTCACTGTAAGTTTTGGGCCGGATTGGATTGGTGTTATCGTACTTAATTTTTTCATATGGTTTCAGTGATCTAACACTGTTCTGTTTAAAATACAGTGGAAGTATATCCCCGTCCTGACGGTAGCATTTACATTTGTGGCATTGGCGGTTCCGATTACATTTCGACTGCCCAACTCAAAGAAGGTGCCTTTCTGGAAAATTGCGAAGCCAATCCGACCCGGGTCGAAGCTGCCCAAGCCTCCTTCCGGGATATGGCACCACAATACAAGGAAGAAAATGGAGGTAGTTTGGAAAAGTCACAAGCGTGCATGCGACCCTGTCCGCCCGATGCCATGCCATACATGGGAGCAGTGCCTGGATATACAGGTGCCTATTTGAATGCCGGTCACAATTGTTGGGGCATCGCTTGGGCACCAGCATCTGGTAAGGCCATGGCCGAATTAATTTGGGAAGGTTCCTGCTCGTCGATCAATTTGAAACCATTTGACCCGGTTCGGTTCACACCCAAGTTGGCCCAACGAGGACGAAAGCGACGCGGAACTAATGTCGGAGAGCAGTGGTAATGTAGCGAATGGTCGTGATAGTAGCATGGGTAGGCAGTTTAGTGAGGAAGATTACTGAATGATCACTGAAAACATTTCGATTCTATCTGGAAAAAAAAGGATACAATAAAGATCGGCCCGGCGATTGAAGCGTTGTTGTATGGTCCGATTCATTCATTTTGCGGTTTCTCAGTACTACACGAAAAGGATAGATTACATATTAATTTCATAGGTTAACGATTCCTAGAATCCTCCATACAACCTACTCTTCGCCTTCAAGTTCCAAAGATCGTGGAATTCGCTTGCGTGCGTCTTCAACATCTTCCCGGCCCTCCTCGTCAGAAAGCTCCAAGTAAATTTCAAGTGCTTGTTGGAACATGACACGGGGCTTTCTGTGTTGCTTTTGTTTCGTTAATACATTTCCCCATATTGTACTGTGTGTCGGCACAGTCCTCACGACGTTCGGGAATATTCGAATGAATCTCGAGAGATTTGCGATACATGTCCATTGCTTCCTTGCATTTGACTTGACTCTCCAAAACGCACCCCATTTTGGAATACGTGTAGGCAACATCTTGATGGCGATTGCCACAGACTTTTAATTGAATGTGGAGAGCTTGGCGGTGCATGTTCAATGCTTCTTTATATTTGACCTGATTCTCTAGAACACACCCCATCGCGTAATATGTGTCGGCAACATCTTTATGATGACTACCAAGGATTTTTAGTTGAATGTCGAGAGCCTTACGATAAATCTTAACGGCTTCCGTGTGTTTGGCCCGATTCTGGAAAACACATCCCATCTGATAATATGTGTTGTTGGCAACATCTTTATGACGATTGCCAAGGATTCCTAGTACCGAGAGCCTTACGATACATCTTCATAGCTTTTTCATACTTCTCTTGATCGTAAAGAGCAGCCCCATCGCTAGTAAACTTGCATGCTTCCCTCAATTGGTCCCGCTTATCGATTGCACTAAGTTGTCGTTCAGTCGGATCATTGCTGTTGATCTCTTCCTCGTCATCACTATCACTGCTGATGACGATAACTTCATCGCTTTTACTTGTCTTTCTCTTTTTTCCTCTTGCTGTATCATCAGCCGATTCAACAGCCGACCTTTTCGTGTTTGACTCATCATCAGCATCGTCGTTCTTTTTGATATTTACTAAATTCTCTTGGTCTTCCATCTCCTCCTGTCGTGGTGGCTGATTGATTCAACGCTGCTACCCGCGTTGCTGTTGCAACTGACATGATATCTTGCTGAGGTACGACGGCCTTACTAAATGATCAAGTTGTATCATTATTCGACTTCACAGCGTAGGTTCCTCCATCAGCTAGCGAGACATATCCAAGCATACTCGTAGTTTTGTTTCAGCATTCTCCAAGAACTTTGTGTTCAGCGATTCCAACAAATCCTTGAACTCCTCTCTGTTGCTGATTGCATAGACGCTACCATCATTGACAATGGTGGTGGTTTTCCGTCCTTCATTCATGGTATACTACCAGCTGTGTGCTTTGCTGATTCAGAACTGCTATACATACATACACAGTATTGAGTATAAAAAAGATACGAGATTTAGTAGATTTTGGCGGGAAATATGTAACTTTCTGTGTGTAAGCACGAGTAAGTTTAGATATCGTCCACCCATCAACCGTACTTGAAGATCGGAACGCGTACTACACTACATGCGTACCGGTACACGTACAGTAGCAGTATGTGGCTCATAGAAGCTGGAAAGACTGCCGGCTCGATCGCATTCCGTGTGCGCTTTTTGTTCCTCAGATTCTGCTTTTTCCTTCGATCGTCAGTTTGGTTTCGGTTTGTCGTGGCACCGCCCGAGGAACTGAAAACGCCCGTGCAAAACACGCAGGGATTGCGGCTACGTGAAAATTTCAGCCATTGTGGCACTCACCTTGAATATCAAGCCTTGGATAGGCTTTAGGAACGACTTCCAGCATTCCAAACCACCAGAACAGTATAACAGCAACCATTATTGAACTCAAGCTATAGTCTTCTAGGCTCGCTTCATTATCATTATCAATGTCAACCTTCATGTCAACATCAACCACCACGGCCACACCATCAGTCCTGGCATCAGCAGCGTCAGCAAAGAACAGTGTGGAAACCGCTTCAGCGTCCTCATCGTCTTCTTCTTCACGTCCAACATATGCACAATTTGAAGATGCCGATGAACCAATCGTGAACGTTACCATGAAAGAGGAAGATGAAGCAAACACGCCTATGCCTAATTCAGCAGCATCATTCTCATCAGCACTAGCGACGTCTGCTTCTACGTTTGGTGGTGGTGGTGGCAATCCAAATGCAGTACCAGTAGGAGTCTCACCCGTGTCACCCGAAGCCGAGTTGCTACGAATGGCCTATTTCTTTCAAAATGCCGCACACATGCCCACCATGCCCCACCACCAAGACCACAGAATGATTCAGCATCATCAACATCATCAACAACAATCGTATCATTTACTTTCAGCAGCAGCAGCAGCACCACCAGCACCACCAGTGATGCCTTCCAACAGCATGCAAATGCTCGCACTATTGGCCCAACATTCCCAATTCCAACATCATCATCAGCAACATCATCAGCAACAGGAGCAGCAACAGGAGGAGGAGCCGCCAAAACCACAGCTGGAACAGCAACAGACTCAGAAGACCCAAGAGGACCACGAGACTCAAGATGAAGACCCATCTACTCCTCCTCCACCACCACCACCAAGAAAGAGAGGACGACCCCGAAAAGACAAATCCTTGCTAGCCAAAAACAATAGTGACAACAACAGCGAGAACGACAGCAAAAATAGCAAAAGAAAAGAGAAGAAACCCAAAAAGGCCGGGGGGAATGCTGCGAAAGCTGCGAAAGCTGCGAAAGCAGGAGTCAAATACTGCAACAAACAAATTGACAAGTGGATTGTCCGATACAACGAAGCCAAGGAATATGCCGAAAAGAATGGTCACTGCATGATTCCGAATGAATATCCGGCCAATCCTTTGTTGGGTGGTTGGGCCAAACGGCAACGCTATCAATATCAAGTCTTGAAAAAGGGTGAAAAGAAGGGCGCCTTCAAGAAACAACCCGCTGCCATACTCTTGCATGCCAGCCGGAATTCCTCCATTTCGGCGGAACGCATTAAATTGCTAGAAGATATTGGATTTTGTTGGCAACACAAGGATCACAAATGGCATGCACGATACGACGAATTGGTCCAATTCACCAAGGACTATGGACATGCGGCAGTCCCTACTACCTATTATGAAAATCAAGGGCTTGCCGGATGGGTCAAGGTCCAACGAAGGCAATACAAGCTGTATTCTTTGGGCAAGAAATCTTCCATGACGCAATCTCGAATTGCATTGTTGGAAAAGGTTAACTTTTGTTGGAGCATCAAAGAAATTATGACTCATCTTCCAGAAGACCAACGAGAGGCCGAGAGAAAGGCAGAAGCCTTGCAACTGGTCAAAACCCAAAAGCACCCGCAACAAATGCTATTCGAAAAGGACGAGAGGAGGAGTCGAATGATCCATCATGCAGGAATGCAATTGCAGTCCAACGCCGCCTCCATGCTGTCGACGAACAACAACAACGACAACAACGACAACAACGACAACAATGATGATAATGATAAGATGGCAAAATCGAACGTCATGCTGCAGCTACAGAAGACGAAGAGCAAGAAGAACAACAGCAATGATCATGCCACAACCAAACCAATGAGTATTCGTATCAGCGATACTGATGGTGCGGGTGATGTTACAACCACAGCGACTGCAGTAGTAGTAGCGAAGGAAGAAGCTAATACATCAATATCTGTTGAGAAAGAAGTCAAAGACGTCTTGGACGAAAACGATGCTATTTCTGCATTGCTGTCCTTTGGGCGATGATCGTCGATGGATGGATGGATGGATGGATGGATTGTTATTGTATGGATGGATGGATGGATGGATGGATGGTACTAGAAGATTAGTATAATATTTTACCATATAATAGCAAAAGATCAAAATATATAACATATAACATACTATACTCGATTCTTTTGCATAACATAATATGGTAGCCATAAGATACCGCGAGGTACTTTTGTGATTTTGACTTTGGAATGTAAACGCACAAATTTAGACAAAAGGACTATCCTATGCATTTCTGATAATGTCATAAATAATGCAGTAACATCGATTGTGCTGTTGGCATGATCATCATGATGATTCCTTCCACAGTCACGCGCGCGGTAGCTACCTGTGTTCATTATAGACTTCTTGGACGAAGAACCTGTGGTCCAGCCGTAAGAATAATTTACAAAAGGACTTCAGTTGGAAGCCGATGGAGGTGCAGAATAATAATATTTCAGTGTACAGGGTAGGGTCTGCAAATGGTGGGAAATGCAGACATGCCGGTACTGTAACGTGCCGCAAAGGCTAAAAACAAAGATGAAATGAAATACCGGTACCACAGGTATTAATACCGGTATAGTGAACAATAAAAATAATGGAAAATGAATCATCATAAATACCGTATCGTCACATGGCGCTTTTGAATTTGGTCTTTTGAGTCAGTAAGTCAGCATAAAAAGGATTCGGATGGCGTGGTGCAGCGCTCGCTGACTGTGTGTGGACCTGAACTTGGGCGGGACACGACAGATGGTTCCCATCCACTTTCACTTTTTCCAAATAACGACGTGAAGCAAAGTGCGTACTTAGCGAAGCCGCCAGATGTCTAAGACCACGCGCGGCTGGCCATCCAAACGTCGATCACGTTCGTCGTCTCACAATCTATAAAACTGCAAGCGGAGCCACAAAGATGGCATCTACTGTGTCTCAGTGATGCACTATGGAACGCTTTTCCCTATGTTTTAACTCACGGTCGGATGCATCACCGATGTAATTTAGAAGAGCGTTCTGATCGGAAGACGAAATTGCACGCAAGCAGTGCTTTTGGTGACGCTAGGACCCATATCAAAGGAAAACATGGGGGTGATATCATCATATATACATCTGTTCGCAGCAACTTTTTATATTACACACAAACACGATACGATACACAGCACACAACAGCAACAGCATAACATATTATAAGACACACATATTATAAGACACACAGAGAGATATCATACAACAAGCAACAAGCAACAAGCAACAAATAACAACCAAAAAGAAGAATGACAGAAAGAAAAAGAGTTACCATTGACGGCAATCTGTACGACGTTTGCAACGAATTTGAGTTCAAAGAACTGATGGGATGGGTCTTGCGAGCCCAGTGTTTGGAGACAGTCAGGGACCATCCGGGTGTTCTCATGTTCGATTACTCGTCTTTGCAACATGGAGCCGCTTACACGACAAGACCCAACATTCAAATCATTCCCTATGATTCAGATGAAGTGGGTGTGGCAGCTGCGGCAGCGGTCCCTCCTCGTCTGCCACTGCAGCAGCAGCAGCATCAGCGACCGTTGGACCCTCCACAGCAGAGCCACGACCAAAGCAACAACAACAACAAAAACAATGCTCCTCCATCGTCACCTCACAACACTCCTCCCAGCAATCAGTGTTCCCGGGGGACGGCTTCCTCCATTCCCAAGGACATTGTTGTAGTTCGAAGACGCGGAGGCACCAAGGCCAAGAATAAGAGTAGTACTACCAGCAAGATCAACAATAACGCAAGAGATATTTCCAGAAGGTGGAGGCAACAGCAGTTTACTGTGAGCGACACTCAGAACGTTTGCGACATTGCCCAAAAACATACGGACAAGGGAATCTACTTGTGTGCGCAAGGAAGGTACAAGTCTGCCATGGCCTTGTTTCTCCAAGCGCTTTCGTTTTATTTGCAAGCTCATGGAGACGAATCCCACTCGGACGTGGCAAAGAGCTACGATCGATTGGGGACATGTTTGGAAGATCAAGAGAAGTACGAAGAGGCCTTGCCGTATACTCAAAAGGCACTGGACATTCGTTTGGAAGTATGCGGTGATTTGCACGATGATACGGCCAAATCCTACAATAGTGTGGGAAACATCTTGTACAAGCAACGTCACATGGAGGAAGCCATGAAAATGTACGAACACTCCTTGGCGATTGAGCTAGAGAAGCATGGAAACCACCATTTGGATGTGGCGGGTGTTTATCACAACATTGCCAATGTTTTGAACAAGGAAGGAAGACTCGAAGAATCCAAACAAAAGCACGAACAAGCGTTGGTCATTCGACAGGAAACTTCGGAATCGAATCCACTCGAAGTTGCCGATTCGCTCATGGGCATTGGAAAGGCCCTGACCCGTCAAGACAAGCATGCCGAAGCCCAAAAGAAGTACGAAGATGTCGAGGCGATATATCTCGAAGTACATGGCGAAGGTCATGCAAAGGTAACCTCGGTGCGAAAACGAGTCGCCAAGGCTCTGCACCGTGCTGATCAAGAACAGCAAAGGTTGTTGGTGGTTTGAAAATAAAGTACAGTAAGAATGATTCAAATGAAGAATAATAAGAAGGAATGAATGAATTGGACGAGGAGGACGAAAGAACATGCAAATGAGGGTCTGTTCATGAAACAAGTTAGAACTTACCCTATACTATATCTTTAAAAACAAATAGAAATAGATAAAAGTCTGATGAAATGTTTGAAAGAAGGAATACCTATGGTTTTAAACTGAACGAATGCTACTGTATAAAATTCTTGCCTACGAAAGTTGAAGGTCGGACCAGTTGAACACTAGTGGGACTTTACAAGCTCTTATTTCCAGGTTTCCGCAATCATCTCTCATCATCGTCGCACACGCATTATTATTATTATTATTATTATTATTATTATTATTATTATTATTATTGTTGCCGCATCTATCCGCAATGCACACAACTGGAGCATATTATAGATAGCTATATAAAATAACCATGGAGGAAGGACGCAAAACCATCACCATTGCTAATGATGGTGGCGTCTATGCTATTAGCAACCATAAGTTGAAGTCGATCGTTTGTTGCAATAATCAATCGCTATAGATGCAAAGTCCTTGGAGAATGAATGCTCACACAAAATTACGAGTGCTTGGATATGCCTCTCTTGATCATGGAGGAACCTACACGGCTAAATATGGTACCTTGCAACACTACGAGTATCCCATCCACTACCGCTGTAGGTACGGCCAATCTCGTCCAACAATGAATCATCAGCAGCAATCACAGGAACAAGAAAAACGTCAGGAGAATCCAATGACGAAAATACGGAATGATAATGATATTGATGATCAATGATGATCAATGATGATCAAGCCAACAAGAAAAGACCCGCTGAAGCAAGGGCTGACAATAACAAATCCAAGAGAAAGAAGAAACAAAAGGCAACGAACGATAATAAAACAATGATTGTCATCAGCAGTGATAGTGATGATGATGGTGAGAAATTCAAAAACAACAATGATGCGCCTCAAGAACCACTGCTGGATTCTAGGGAAAAGATTGACCAATGGAGTAAAGCCGGAAGATTAGTGGCCAACGGGGCTGCTCTGTACAATGAAGAGAAGTATGATGAAGCAATGAAGATGCATCGTCAGGTACTTGCGATTCGATTAAGGGTTCTTGGCAATCGTCATATTCGTGTTGCCAGGACATATTGTGCGATGGGGAAGATTTTGGAGGGACAAGTCAAATAAAAGGAAGCAATGGACATTTATCGTAAGGCTCTTATTGACATTCAAATAGAAGTTCTTGGCAATGGTCACCAAAGTCTTGCCTACACTTATGGAGCTCTGGGGGATGTATTATTGAGCAAGCAAAACCAACACACAAAGGCTCGTGTCATGTATCAACAGGCACTTGGCATTTCCTTGGAGCTTTATGACGAGCGTCACATACTTGTTGTAGATCTACGCCAGCAAATCGCAAATTCTCTGCTACTTGGAAGCGAAAAGTAGGGTGCATATCTTCTTCACCTGCCGTCTCTCTCAAGACGAGTGAATTTTCCGCCGAAGATTCTGTTAGTTCTCCTTTTTGGGTTACTGTGGTCTTGTTCGTTATCCTGTTCTTTATCTTTATTTTTTTCTCTGACGACGTGAATGCTGTATCATCACGATATCAATGCTGTATCATCACGATTGTCGTGCCTGATGCTCCACACAAATCCGACTTTATTCAACAATAAGGCCACACGTTCCAGAGTCTTATTCCGTCTCCTCCTCCCCCTCCTTGGTGTTGTTGTCTCACGAACAGTCGATATTCCCGCCGTTGGACCTTCGCCCAACCCCCGGGCAAACCTTGATTGTTTGTGTAAAGTGCTGGTGGGAAACTGCTGCATGTCCATGTTCGTAAATGAATTGTACAAGCTCGCCATATTTCACCAGCCATCGACGGCCCTTGTGGTGCCAACACAATCCAATCTCTTCCAAAAGTTTGAGATAGACTGGATATCAGTGATGGATCACCGCGGTACTAGCGTTGCTGGTGCTGATGTTGTTCTTGTCGTCCAACTTGACTCTTTTGATAGATTTGATATTGATATCGTTGGCGCTTGACCCAACCACCCAGCAATGGATTGGCAGGATACTCATTTGGAATCAGACAATGGAAATACTTTCTTTCAAGGGGAATAACTAAAAGGTTTCGAAAGGGTTTTGGCATTTTGAAGCATGGAAGTAGCAGCAGCAGGAGGTCGTGGTGGTGCTGATCATGATGAAACTCAAACAATCATGGTGCAAGGTGGTATTTCGGTGGAAAAGACGACACCCTGCTGATGCTGGGACTCGAAGTATTACTGGAACTATACCGGTACTATGAAGTCAAAGTGTACAATATTACAAATATAATAATATTACAATAGGTTGTTTTGAAAATAAAGAAGAGTCTCATCATCAATCAATAAACGACTGAGTCCTACTGTAGCTGTCCCTCCTTCATCCGGACGACAATAATGGCTCAAAGAATCATCATGGATGCATTGTCCATACGTGTGCCGGTAGGAACTTCGTCACCATCTGCTAGCTGACAGCTTACCAGACATTCAACATGGCCGGCTCGAGCTGGAGCAGTTAACACGATAACTAAATTTAATGAAAAGTATTTTGAATACTGACAGCACGGATAAATATATTTAACTACAGTACACGTGTACGTGTACAGTGCCAATAAAGAGCGGCTTTCTACACACGCAAATGGAAGGGAACAAACAATAACCTCCGCCAGGCAGATGAATGCGAGTATTTTATTTTGTTTCCGTATGCGGGCGGTTTACAATTTGGTCCATATCGCCATCATTGCACAGCGGCTGTACCGATTGACTCCCACCAAAAGAGAATCCTTCTATCTAGTTCTAGTTCTATTCCTACCGTAACGCAGTGTATCTCATCTCACTCTCTATTAGGAACAGAAGAATAGCAGTTTACTGTAGAGTACAGCAAAAGATATTATTGAACCCGCAATTTTAAAAACTTCTCATGTCATCCATGATGCCAAACACCATCAATGATTCGAAGGCGGATGTTTCTTCTTTGAAGCATCTGAACGATTCGGGAAGAATTATTCCCAAAGCACAGCTACCCAAAAAGCGTCCGTTGGCTCCGGTTCCAACAGTACCGGATCAGTTTGAAGATGCGGATGAAGATGAATCGGATCTTGTATTTACCGCAGCCACGGTAGTACCAGCAAAAAGTTTATATGGCGCCACTCATTATCCACTAGCACCAATGTACCAACCACAACAATCACGAGGCTTTGGAGAAGCGGTTTATCCAAAACCCAAAAGGGCAAGAACCCAACCACCACACGTTCTTCCCAATAATAATTCGAATGATCAGACTACTGCTACAACTGCAGCTTCAACGGCACGTGCTCCAGTCCCAGTCACTCCAGAACTAAACGAGGACCAAGATGATGCAAACAAGAGGAATGGACGTGCTAAAGAGCAATCTGCTCCAGGCAACAACGACAACCACAAAAGCGTGAAGAATCCTGCTGCTCGAGCATCACCGCCCAATCCACATCATCATCATCATCATCCAGGCATTGCCGCACACGCAGCTCATGCCGCACATATGTATCAAGGGTTTGTGCATGCACAATCTGCATATTACAATGGAACCTTTGCCCATGCTCCTCCTGCGTTTCATTCACATCCACATCAACATCCTTATCAGCATCATCACCCACATCCACATCCACCACCACCTATTCCAATGATCCTGTCCCAAATTGCACAACGGCGACAGCAGGTGATGCAACAATACCAAGAAAAACAAAAACAAAAACAAAGCCAACAGGAAAGGCAATCAGAGAAGGAGAAAGAGCCGCAAACGAAACAAAGTAATCCGTCTCCCGCTCATCGTACTACTGCAACTACGAAAAATTCCAGCTTGAAGAAAAATAACCAAAAACCAAGTCCTTCTATCATTCCAAAAGCAGGATCACCAGTACCGGTACCATTTTTGGGCCATAGTGCGAGTACACTTGCACCCGAAGCTGCTGCTGGTGCAAGAATGTCTCCTACTCCTATTCTGCCCAATGATCATCGAAGAGTCCCCCTTGCACCCGCCTACCACTACTGTCCTCCTCTTCCTCTCAAATATCATCATCATCGTCCTCCTCATTATCGCCCTCCTCCGAATCCCCTTGGTCCACAACCACAAGACAAACCACCAAACGGTAATAACAAAGCAAACGACAACAGCAGCAATAAAAACAACAACAATATGACCAATGATGAGCAACCACCACCAGCCGAAACACCAGCGCCACGCAAAAAGAGAGGAAGGCCACCCAAAAATAAGGACACTCCGGAAATAAGCAAGGGACGAGAGGCCAATAAAATTCAAAAGGAACAAAAAGCCAAAGAGAGGGAAGCACTCAAAGCCAAAAAACAGGAATTGAAACGACAAAAGCAATCAAAAGTAGCAGCCTCCAAAAAAGGAAATAACAACAACAACAACAATAACAATAAGAAGACTTCCAAGGGATGCAAATATGCTGCCAAAAATATCGACAAGTGGAATGTCAGGTACGAAGAAGCCAAAGAGTTCGCCTTGCAAAATGGTAACTGCATGATTCCCAATGAATACGAGGCCAATCCCTCCTTGGGATGTTGGGCCAAACGTCAACGATATCAATATCAAGTATTCAGGAAATTGAATCGAGACAATACGCAGGACAACAACACTAATGGTGATAATGACGATGGTAAGATTTCCTCCTCCTCCAGCATGACGTCCGATCGAGTGGCACTCTTGGAAAAGATTGGTTTTTGTTGGCATCACAAGGATCATCGATGGCTGGTACGATATGGCGAATTGTTAAAGTTCATCAAGGAATATGGCCATGCCGGTGTTCCAACGACGTGTATTGAAAATCAAGAATTGGCCGGATGGGTCAAGGTCCAACGTCGACAATACCGCTTGTTTGCCATGCACCAAAAGTCGTCCATGAGCATTGAACGAGTGGCCATGCTCAACAAGGTGGGATTCATTTGGTCCATTAAGGATGAGGCACCAGCCATGGACGAAGCTGTGGCCAAAGCCGAAGAGAGTTTGAGACAAGTGGACCTGGAAAATGCCCGCAACATGATGGACTTTGTCCGCAAAAAGACTAGCCTGAAGGATATTTATGAAAAGAGCAAAGAGGATGCAACTGATACTACTACTACAAATGATACCACTACTACTACTACTACTACTACCGAGACAAGGAATACGGAGAATGAAAGTAATGCTGTTGCTGCTGCTGCTACCAGCAAGGAGAAAGCACCAAACGCAGGAGCAACCACAGGGTATCCACACCGCACGGCCATGATTGCCAATGGTGCTGCCATGATTCATTGTCCAAGGACCAACAATTACAGAGGCACAGGTGCTCTGGCTACCATTGCGGCGACTACGATGGCGAATACTGTCTTGCCATCACCAGAATTTTTACCAGTCCTCAACAATCGGAACAAGAAGCGAACAAGTATGGAAGCCGATGCTGCATTTAAAAAGAAACAGGAAGAAGAAGAAAAAGCGCATCGAAATGCAAGACTACCAGCAGCAAACTCGCTTTGTCATCCAGACACAACACCTCTTAGGATTCCTACTGCTACTGCTACAATTGGTGCTACTTCCATGTGGCAAGAGCTTGATCCCAAGAAGAAGCTTGGCGATGATGTTGTTGATGATGATGATGATTCTAAACCACCACCATCAGACTCTGACAAGATGAATACTGCCCCTGCTGCGGATGTCATGCTGAAACCTACTGCTCCTGCTCCTACTACTTTGAATAGTAGCAGTAGTTACAAGGCGCCACCCTCACCCAAGAAAAATGACGAGAAGGAAGCAACGCTTGCCTTGTTGTCGTGGAGACAACACCAAACATAACACTACTATAGTAATATGGTTATTATCATCATTATATATAAAATAAAAGCATGGGATATATAAACCGGTATGTGATGTTGAAAAGCTATATTGATGCACTCTTGTGGAGAGTGAACTCTCGCTATATATATGCAACGAACCGGTAATCGATATCCCGTATTTCTCGAACTTGACTAATTTCTAATTTATTGAATGCGCCAATTTGGTTTGTGGTACGAACTCTACGACATCTACGGTGTGAGAGTACAGACATAGCTTCCTTTTTAACACATCGAACGAATGCAAAGAATAGACAACAATCAAAATACTAACAACATCAACACTCTATAACAATAGCATTATGACAGCAACAACGAATAATACAACAACTAAGACCAAAACCATCACTGTAATCAACGATGGCGGTGTTTATGACATTAGCAGCAAAGAAGAATTCAAAGATTTGCTGTCGTCCTTGAAAACAAACTATTTGGAACATGTCGATACGAAACGTCGAGTGCTTGGCTTTTTGTCCGTTGTGGACGGTGGAACTTATACGTTCTCTTCTTCCCATTACACTGCTAGCATCATTACTCCAAAGAGAGCAGCTGACAAGACAGATGACGTATCAATGCAGCAAGAATCAGCAGCAGCATCAGCATTAGCGTCATCCTCACGAGATTTGCCTTCCCCACAAAAGCTGAGATTGGACGAAAGCAATAACCATGAAAGCAGCACCAATGAGGAATCCAAAGAGAGAAATGGCATTCGCACTGATGATGACGAAGATAATATTCGGTCCAAGGTAGTAGCTCCTGAATCCTCTTCTGCTACCGTTAGCCATATGGAGCGTCAACAAGATGAGTCTCATCAATCCCCGCCGCAAGCTCAACCACAGCCAATCATGTCTGACAAACATCGAAATAAGACGACTGGCAATGCTCAACACGACAACATCATCATTCACACCAATGGTGACGACAATATTTGGAAATATTCGCTAGGACATGACACTCAAAAGGCCAAGGATCCATCGTCTCAAGGAGTCCAAGAACCAGCTAATAAGGATTGTGAGAATAATACTGGGGACAGTAAAAACGCAAGCAGCAATAAAACCGAACAAAAACAATCTCCTTTTGACATTCAACTTCCAACGCCAGATACAGTGGTAAAGAATCACCAGCAGCAGCAAGGCGACAACAGTGATGATAGGAAAGTGCTGGTTGAGAAAACCAATGATGCTGCACTTTTGATGGCGCTCCGAAACGACGATTGTTTCACCACCAGCAACAATGAGAACAATCACCATCAAGGGGATGAAAATAGCCAGTCTCCCAACAATCGACGACAGAACGACGGGAATCAAACAGAAAACAATAGCAGTGGTGATTTCACCGAGAAGGATGACGATGATAGTATTGCAAATGACCAAGCAACAGCAACAACAACAATAGCAGCAGCAGTACACTCGCCGAACCACAAGCGACCGCGGAATATTGTCACTCCCAAGGAATCATTAGCATCACCATGCCTTGCACGGAAAACGGAGAAAAGCTCCTTCTTTTCTACCAGCCGAACCCAAGCTGATAAGGATGAATGCTTCTCGTCTCCGCCGCCAAAGCAAAAGCGATTGAGATTGGATCCAAACAAAGAAGACGAAATAGAGAGTGGAGCATCATTATCGCCAGCCTCGTCAACAGTATCATCATCGTCATCGTCGTCGTCGTTGTCAAATGTGCCACCCACCAAGCCGCAAAAGACGACGCAAACTCCTACTCTCAAGAAGACCTTTACACTCACCGAGTATTTGGTGGAAGCCAAAGCGCTTTTGGACAAGCACAAGTATCGACAGGCGATGATGCTCTACGAAAAGGCTCTACCACTGCAAATAAAAGCTTTGGGCAAGAACCATACCAAGGTTGCCAATACCTGCTTTCAAATGGGGCGTGCCTTGAGGCATTTGGGCATTTATGGAGAGGCCATGAGACTCCATCAACGGGCTCTCCAAATTCGCCTTCAGTGCCTCCCTTCAAATGATTCGAGAATTGCCGACTCGTATAATACCATTGCCGCCGTGTTGACCAATCAAGGACGCTATGATCCAGCAATGCACGCCTATCAAAAGGCTTTGCATATACGACTGGAGGTCTACGGAGACAAGCATGCCTACGTGGCCCAAGTCTTGTCCAATATGGGGTGGGTCTTGCAAACGCAAAAGAAGTATGTAGAGGCAAGAAAAAAGTACGAAGCGGCACTTGACATCTACCTCGAGGTCCATGGGGAGGGACATGCGCGGGTAGAGATTACCCGGCAGCAAATTGCCGAGTCCAATGGCAAACTGAATGCTGCTGCTGCTACTGCTTCTCCTCCTCCATGTACTGTCGTACTCTGATTGAGGTATTAGACAGAGCATTTCTTCAATAGTTCCATCGTAGACAAGTCGCTTTTGGGTAAACATGTAGACTCTTGTATTGTAAAAGCATAATGTATATATGGTATATCATTTCTTTCAGCATACAGCACACGTCTACAGTTGAGTATTGTTTTCTTGCATAAAATAATGGAATGAATGAATGAATCGCAATCAATCAATCTAATCCGATTTTGAACTAGTGATTGATTCATTCGACTTCGTCTGTTTCGCCAAAACGCGTGCCGAGTTTTTCGTTTTGGCGAAGAAGTTCATCATCTCTCTTTTTCTGATGCACGCGAAATAAAAATCGCATCCATCAAAATCGGATGCGATATAATTGATTGATTGATTGATTCATTCATTCATTCATTCATCTCATCACCGCACAAGTGATCATTAACATTATCGTAAACCCTTCAAAATGGCCATGCTGACAAAGAATCTTACAATCGTCGATGATGGCGGTGTTTACGAGATTAGCAGCAACGAAGAATTCCGGGATTTGCTCGAATCCTTGGAAACCAAATATTTGGAGAATGTGGAGACGGGGCGTCGAGTGATTGGATTCTTGTCACTTGTGGATGGTGCTAGCTACACTACCGCTAATCGCAATAATAATAATACACCAATCATAATATCTACAGACGAATCATCCTCAGATGACCAGGAGCGATCGCAAGATGAGGAGGAGTACGATGACGAGGAGGAGGATGATGATGATGAACTCGAAACGCAAATGGCAATTTCGGAACAAGACAGTGATAATCTTCCAAAATCAAGAGGCAAAAGTGGTGCAACAGCGAAGAACCAAGTCGCTATCGCGAAACGAAATGGCGTAGTACCAAAGGCCATTGTGGTACGGCGAGCAAGTAGTTGTACGACTGATGTCAAGAGGAAAGCGAGGAACTCATTGGGTCAAAAGAAGCAGCAACACATGGAGCGAAGTTTAAAGAAGCAACTTGACATTGCTAGTAAGCTCGTAAAATCAGGAAATGAGTTGGCCAAACAAGGCAAGCTTGTTGGTGCAATGAATGCCTATCGAAAGGTTCTCAAGATTCGATTAAAGGTCCTTGGTAAGCACCATCCCAACGTGGCAACTGCCTTTAGCAATCTCGGCAGCATCCTCTATGTACAAGGTAAATATGAAGAAGCCACGAATATGTATGGAAGGGCACTCAAAATCCAGTTGCGAATCCATACTAGTAGTGGAAGCAAATGTCATCCGGATGTCGCCCAACTGTGTTACAATCTTGGCAAATCGTATCAGCATCAACCAACCAAGGAGGAAGACTCCCGAAAGGCATACGAATTTGCACTTTCCATTTATTTGAAAACAAGTGGCGAGGATTGTGGGAAGGTATCCGAGATTCGAAAGAGTCTGACAGCGTTGTAACAGTTTGGGATGAATGAATGCGGGAACAATACTACGAATCATTCTCAGACGGGGGAACTCACTCAATCAGGAAACTATAAAATACTATAGTGTACATTATAAGATATGTACCATTCTCTATATGGCTAGTTTTTGTCCTCCCGCATAAGGCAGGTTGTAGGAATTGAATTAATAATAGTATGTATTAGAGTCCAATACTCCTAGTCCTGCCTATAAGTATTCATAATCTTGTAATTTTATTACTTTAAAAGGACCTCCTATTCTACAAAGTGTGCCAATAATTTTAAAATATTATAAAACCAAAGCTATACTTCATATCTTCCCCCAAGAGCAGTGTGAGATGATGATCCAGCAGGAGCTCCACCCTCTCTCAGTTTCGTTCGAGTCAAGGCAGTCATGACGCGGTCTCCCGCCTTTTCATAAATGGGAAGAGCCTGTTGATACATCTTTTGTGCGTCTTGATTGTTCTCTTGTTCGGTATGCAAGTCTCCCAGGTTCGAGTAGCTTCGGGCCACGTGTGGATGCTCCGTACCCAAGGTTTCCCGTTGAATGTCCAGGGCTTGTCGGTATCGGATTTTGGCTTCCTCGTAACGGCGCTGCTTTTGCAACAACAATCCCATATTGTTGTATACACCCGCGACATCTACATGCTTTTTGCCGTCCACCTCCAAATGAATGACCAATGCTTCTCGATACTTATCCATGGCTTGATCATACTTGCCCAACTCGACCAAGGAGAGTCCAATGTCCATGTGGTAATTGGCCACGCGACCATCCTTCTGAGGCGAGCATTTGAGGGTAATGGCGAGCGCCTTTTCAAAGGTTTCAATGGCTTTCTCATACTGCTTGTCCTCATGAAGTGCAATTCCATCTTTTCGAAAGGCAGTGCACGTTTCGGCGACCTTTAGCAAAATGGGATAAGCATCATCTTCCTTGCCTGCTTGCATCAAGGCATGTCCCTGCTTAATCCACTCCTCTGCTTCAGTAACTGAAGCAGAAGACGAAGAAGGAGATGTCTTTTGTTTCTTGGTTGGGTTGTCAGAATCAGCAGCAGCATCTTCTAGCTTGTTCTTGTTGCCGTTGTTGCTGCTGCTATCATTGTTGCTGCTGTTCGATTCTTCATGGTTAGTAACGTCCTGATTTTCCTCATTGGACCGCGTTTCCTCTAAATGAACACCAAGCTTTTCAGGCAAACTTTCCTTCTTTTCTTCCTCCTCCATTATAATGTTGGTGGAGTACTGTGCATGATGCTGATGATGCTGATGATGATCATCGTCGTCGTCGTTAGTATTGTCCTGCAGCGCATCTAAATCAGTGTTAGCAATCTCAGCATTCTCATTATCTTCTCCTACTTCAGGGACCGGGTCATCATTCAGGGCGTGCATCAAAAACTGAAAGTCTTCTTTGTTGCCAATGATGTCATCGTTGTCAGTGTCGACAAGATCCAGTCGTTCCGAGTCTGTCATTATGATTGTGTGGTGCTGTTATAGTGATGATGCGGCAATAAGGCAAGATCACGATTGATGAGATGCTACTAGAATAAAAAAAATATTGCATGCCAGCTGCGTGACGCAAAAAGAGGGCAATGCTGAAAATGATCTGAGCGGGAGGCGGACAGGTGATTGATTCTTCGTAACGGGACCATCCAAAAATATTGCATACGTTACGCATGCATGCCGCTACGCTGAAGATGATGATGATTTCTGTCGTCACGTTACGTCAGAATGGGCTGACGACATCTTTCTTTGCGCCTGACTAAAACTGTGACAGTATAATTTCAAGGCGACGCATGACGACGAGTGCGGGAATTTTATGATATCCTTACTATACCGGTATGTTTTGAACTTATATTATTATAGTACGGTATGGGAGTCGACGTTTCATCATTTTGATTCTCTCCCTCTGCTCAATCAACAATTCTCTAGATGCGCCTTGATGATATTGAATGGCTGTGTTGATATCATAGGCTACTTGGTGCATATCCAAGGCCTCTTTGTATTTGGATTGCTTCTCAAAAATAAGTCCCATATTGTGTCACGATGATTGGGCCACCTTGGGGTTGCAATTGCCAATTTCTCCCAATCGAATCTCAAGAGCTTCTCGGTGTACTTTGATGGCATCGCTATTTGTACCTTGTTCCTCCAAGCTTTGGACGGTGTCATTGTATTTTGGAGCCACATACAAGTGCTGACTCCCATGTGTCTTGGTTACTTCAAGCGATTTCTGATAGGCTTTCATGCATCCCTCAACTCTCCCCTTGTTTCCCAAGAAATATCCGATGGCGTTGTATATATCAACTGTCATATTGTTTGCTGATTCAATCGCAATTGCCTTTCCGTACAATAATTCTATTGCATAGTCATCCTATTCTTTCGGTTCAAAAAGGAATGCAGATCCCATGTCAAAGGAGCAAGGCTTGGGAGCATCGGGAACTTGAATAATTCCATCTCGATCAGCGCCAAGAGTCCTTAGAAATATTTCCAACGGCTTCCTCGGATTTTCAATGCATTGCCAAGGCGACAGGGAAACTGCTATACACCCTTTGAAAGAAGATGCAAAATCCGTCATTACTCCTTGATGAATGTCATTTAAGGGCTATATACTCGGAGCACTTGTTGAAACAATGCGATGGATTCGTCATGTTTTCCTTCTTTGGCCAGAAGCCCTGCCTCTTTTAGGCCGGCATCGATAATGTCAGATAGCTTCCTTCTTCTGATTTGACCCCTCTGTTCTCAGCAAGCTCGTCATGGCGCTTTGCTTCTGGAAGAATGGTTTCATCGTTTTCCTGCTGGAGGAGAAGGAGTCGATGCTACTCGCGGTTGCTTCTTCGTTGCACTATTTGCGACGACTTTGGTCTTGTAGCCCTTGACATTCCAAGCTCGTCGTACGGCTGATTTGGCTTTCTTCGTCTTATGATTGTTCTTATTAGCTGCTGACAATGATGATAATGATGATGATGATCTCGGTTTATTGTACTTGTTGCTCATGCCGTTCTTCTCATCGTGAGATACATTGGGCGACTTGTCTGCTGAAGGAGATACAGTTTCGACTTATTGCTCTTGGTCTGATCTGTTGGGTGAAACGGTATTGGCGCTGTTACTATTCGGATTGGCTGGAGTGTAGCTTCCTTGATTCGCTAGCGAGGCAAAGCCAAGCACTCGCAATTTCGTGTCAACATTTTCCCAAATATTTAGTATTCATAGTGATTCCAACAACCGATCGCGAATTTTTAATTGTTGCTAATTATATAGCTTATGCCTTTATCAGCATCGGTGATGATTTTGGGCGTCATGGTGGTTGGAATGTGTAATAACGGTATGTATGTTGTACCAAACGTTCACTCAGTAGCGCAGGACCTACTGTGGCATGAGAGTTTTCTCAGATGAATGAATAATGAAGAAGATTGCTGCACAGCAGCAGAGCGTCTCCTCTAGAAATTGTACCACATGTTGAAATGGGCGCGGTTAGGTGGTCTGAAGTACCAGGTACCGGTATTCAAAATTAACAAATATATATACCTACTGGCTGTACCGTTTTCGACTTGCCGATCAATTTGTGTTGGGAAAGATGACACCTGAAAAAGACCGTGGCCAATCATCTCCTGTTTCCGTTTGTTCCCTCATTGATCGGCAAGAAGACTGCCAAGACCCTACAGTACGTATAGGTACGTGTACGTGCTCGGAGTCGAAGGAAGTTGAATCACTGCGATAGGCAGGTGCGAATCCAGAGGCACCGCGGTCATAGACAACACCTCGCGGGAACCACAAAATTTGAAAATGCTGAACGGTACGTAGCTTTTTTAAAAGAATCACCTTCAGGCGGTCAGAAGTGGCAAGCTTTCCGTTCGCGACGATCAAAACTTTAAATCTTGATACCAAATTACTCCCAACGAGACATCGGCATGCTTGAAATTTCATCCAAAAGCACTTCGAGGCGGTCAGTATCGGCAAGCTTTCAACTTATTCCGTTCGTTGATCTTGCGACGATCAAAACTTATAATCTTCATACTAAATAACTAGTCCTACCAAAGAGACATCGGCATGCTTCAAATTCCATTTGAAAATGATGTAAACGGGTCGTATGTAAATGAAAAGAAACACCTTGAGGCGGTCAGAAGTGGCAAGCTTTCCGTTCATTGATTTTGCGACGATCAAAACTTCAAATCTTCATACTAAATTCCTACCAAAGAGACATAGGCATGCTTGAAATTTCATCTTGAGGCGGTCAGGAGTGGCAAGCTTTCAACTTGTTCCGTTCGTTGATCTTGCGACGATCAAAACTTATGATCTTCATACTAAATAACTACCAAAGAGACACCGGCATGCTTGATTGTAAGAGGTCGAAAACTCTGGAGACGCGTTTGAATGATTAAAATCTCTCACTTTTCCGAGCAGCAGTTTCTGTGAGTCTCACTTTTCGTAGAAGTAGCAGTTGTGAAACCCACTCTCTTTGCTTGATTTGATAATGAAGTTCCATTTGGCTATCAGTGCTTTGCTCGTGTTGGCAGTCTCTCCTGCCACCGCCCAAGCAAACAGAGCCCGCCGTCTTGAACAAGGCAAGGGTTTCTCTTCAAGTTCGAGTGGCAAAGGAGGTGGCAAAGGAAGTGGCAAGGGATCTTCTTCTGGTAAGGGATCCTCTTCTGGTAAGGGATCCTCTTCTTCTGGTAAGGGATCCTCTTCTTCTGGAAAGGGATCCTCTTCTTCCGGCAAGGGCGGTGGCAAAGGTGCAAAAAGTCCCGTAACCACCCCATCCGCTCCCACCCCACCCGCAAGCATGCCAACCGCGCAATCGGCTCCCACCCCAACCGCAAGCATGCCAACCGCACCATCGGCACCCACGGGTCCCGACCGTTGCGAGAATGTCTCTTGTACCAACCCACTCGAAGGCTGTGATCCATTCGATGGAGTGTGTAAGAATCTCGATGAACTTGTGCCGTGTGTGGCTGTCATTGATGAGGCGGATCGTAATTCGGCTGCCGACTTCATTACCAAATGGGATGCATTCCGTGCACGCTTTCCAAGCAGACCATTTTGCTTGTTGCAACCCGTCCCACCGGGAAATAGTGCCACACTCTTTCTACCACCTGCCTTTATTACAGGTGATCCATTGGTCCGATACAGTGAGGTCACTAGGGACGGAGAAAACCCCGCGGCAACCATCTCTGATTGGTACACCATTTGTGACATTAACAATCTCAAGTCTTCGAGTATTGAGTTTGTTGGTCTCTTTGTGGACAACTCGGGAAGTATGACAACCGCAACAGTCAGAGGAGCATATGACAAGTTCTTGGCTGACTTGACAGCGAATGGACTCACCTTCAAAACCGTAGAGAATACGAGGGAAGATTGGATCTTGCCTTTTGAAGTGTCTCTTGTCTAGTAGGCTAAGAGTTGCCAGCTGAGACAATATGGGATACGCATACAATAGATTTCTAAGGTAGATGCGATGTTATTCCATTGTCAGTAGTCTCCTGCTGTAAAATGTCGCGAGCCCTTCTATACTTTCATGACATAGGCTTTGACGTTTGATTTCTTTTTCCAAAGACGCCGCCACTCTCGGTATATATGGCGACATCTTGTTGATGGCAATAATTGTCGCTCTTCTCTTTATTGTTCAAGACATCGTCGTCCCCGCCTGATCATATTCTAGTCGTATGCTGATGATTGAGCCGTGTCCTCAACATTATTACAATATCGAGTGCCTTTTTATGCATCGTCGTTGCTTGGTCATCTTTATGTTAACTCTAGCTAGTCTTTATTACTTTTTGGATTTGTATCTGCATTGGACCCATTGGATCCGACTACCACAAAACGTTATATCAGTACTGTCAAATGCCAACGCTTTTTATTGTTCATACACTTGTACAGACTGTACCACTTTATTGTAGCGAAGGAACATAGAACAGCTCTTTCTGGATGTACAATGATTTATTCGTAGAACTAAAAGTGAAGTTTGTACTTCCTAGAATGAATCCTGCCTGGTGCATTGGAATGCATCCAGCCAACTCGTCTTTGCCTTCAACTTCCAAAGATCCTGCAATCCAACATCTTTGTGGTCCTCGCCGTAGATTTCCATGCAGATCGCAAGGGCCTTACGATACATCTTCAATGCTTCCTTTCATTGCTCGTGGTTCGTCGGCACAACCCCGCAGTTCCTATTGCAATTCCTTTTTGCTCTATCTGCCTATTCACGCATTTTGCATGCTTCATCGTGTTTCTTTTTATTTTGAAGGACTTCCCCGATATGGAAGTATGATTGAGCAACGGAAAAGCTATTGTCTCCAAAAACTTCCAAATGAATATCAAGTGCCCTTTGATGCATCTTCAATGCTTCGTCAAACTTATTTTTATGGTTTAAGGCATTCCAGATATTGTTGAATGAAAAAGCAGCATTAAGATCACGATCTCCCGACACTTCCAACATAACATCAAGGCCCTTTTGATGCATCTCAAATGCTTCGTCGTGTTTCTTTAGAGCGTTGAAGGCAGGCCCAATGTTGTGGTATAACCAAGCAGTCTCACGATGGCGATCACAGAGAACCTCCAATCGAATCTAAAGAGCCTCTTTGTGTAGATTCAATGCTTCCTCATACTTGCATTGGTGGTACAAATCATCCCCCTCCAAATTGAGGTTTTTGGCTTTGCTCAATTGGTTCTCCTTTTCGCGCTTATCATCAAGTTCTTGTTGTGTTGTATCATTGTTGTTGGTTTCTTTCATATCATCAAAGACGCTTCCCTCATCATCTTCACTCCTTGCCTTCTGCTTTTTATTTCCCCTTGCTGTGTTCTCAGCCCGTTCCTCCGCTGGCCTCTTATTTGAGCCTTCATCATCATCGCCGTTGTCGTCATTCCTGTTCCTGATTGGATTCTCCTGGTGCTTCTGCTTGTGACCGATGATTCATCGTTGGCTGCTGGGCTTCAACTGTTGTTTTATGCGGATGTACAGCGGCATTGCTGGAGGCTGTATTAGTAACATTGCGAGACGTCACCGTGTAGGTCCCTCCATCCACGAGAGCGGCGTATCCAGTAACCCTTCGTTTCGACTCTGAATTTTCCAAGAACTTGGCGTCCAGCCATTCCAGCAAACGATGAAATTGCTTTTCATTGCTGATATCATAGACACCCCCATCTTGAGCAATGGTGATTCTTTTGTATTCGTTACTCATGTTACTATATTAGCTACTGTATATACCTTCTCCAGTTTTGTACTTTGCTGGTTGCGAAACCTCTGCGGTAGCGCACTGTGAGAGCGGCAGGAAATGAAAATAACGCGTGTTCCCACAAAGTGTCTCCAAAGAACTTGCAAAGTCCCTTTACCGTACACGTGTACACTGTGGGTACTCTACTGTTACGAAACAACATAGAACAGAGCGACAGATTTTCGACTTCCTGAGGATGTACAACGATACAACGATTTATTCATAATAGAGCTATAAGTAAAGTTAGTAGTCCTCCATCCTAGAATCCTGCGGATGACTATAACCTACCTTCGAGTTCCAAAGATTGTGCGATTTGCTTGGGTGTGTCTGCAACATCGTTATGGCCCTCGCCGTGGATTTCCAGGTAGATCTCAAGAGCCTGTTGATACATGACACGGGCCTCTGTGTGCTGGTTTTGTTTGGTTGATATGTAGCCCATATTGTAATATATGTTTCCAACATGCTCATGTTCCTCGCCGTGAACTTCCACGTAAATATCAACAGCCTTACGATACATCTTTAATGCTTCCTTGTATTTCAATTGATCCTCCAAAACATAGCCCATGTTGCGATATGTGTTGGCAACATCTTCATGTTCCTCACCGTGAGCTTCCACGTAAATATCAACAGCCTTACGATACATCTTCAATGCTTCCTTGCGTTTGATTTGCTTCTCCAAAACACATGCCATATAGCAATACGTGTTGGCAACATTTTCATGACGATTGCCAAAGACTTCCAATCCAATATCAACTGCCTTCTGAAACATCATCATTGCTTCTTTGTATTTCTTTTGATCCTCCAAGGCTCTGCCCATATTGGAGTATGTATGATGAGTACGAGCATGACGGTTTCCGCATACTGCTAAAAGAATATCGAGTGCCTTTTGATAAGTCTTCATTGCTTTCTCATGTTTATGTTGATCATCAAAAACAACCCCGAGATTAAGGTATGAATCAGCAGTGTAAGCATGACTATTTCCGAAGACTGATAAACGAATATCAAGTGCCTTTTGATGCATCGTTATTGCCTTCTCATGTTCTTTTTGCTTGTTCAGGACAATCCCAATATTGTTGTAGCATTCAGAAGTGCCGACATGACGATTACCCAACACTTCCAAACGAATATCAAGTGACTCTTGATACATCTTCAATGCTTCATCGTATTTCATTTGATTGTTAAAAACAATCCCAATAGAATTATATGATGTAGCAGTGTCGGCATGGCGATTTCCCAAGGCTTTCAATCTAATATCAAGTGCTGCTTGAAGCATCTTCAATGCTTCGGCATTTTTCTTTTGATTGCTCAACACATGTCCGATAGTTTCGTATGATTGAGCAGTATCAACATGATTATCACCAAGAACCTTCAAGCGAATCTCAAGAGCCTCTTGGTATAGATTCAATGCTTCCGCACAATTGCTAAGCTTGTACAGAATGTTTCCGGCGTTCATGAACTCTTTGCATTTTCGCAATTGAGTCTTCTTGGTGCGCTCAACAGCATTGTTGTTGATCTCTTCAGCATCATCGCTGTCACTGCTGATAGTGCTTGTGTCATCGTCATTCGATGGTTGCCTTGGCTTCTTTTTCTTTCCCTTGTTATTGTTGTTGTCGAATATTTTCTCAGCTGGCCTTTTCTTGTTGGCTTCAGCATCATCATCGTTCCTGTGATGTGTTTGCTTCTCCTGGCCCCTGTTTGACTGATTCGTCGCTGGCTGCTGGACTGTAGCTGAATCTGCCACAACGTGCGGGTGTGTCGTGACGCTCGTGGGTGCTTCATTTATAGCAATATTGCTAGATTTGGCCGTGTAGGTTCCTCCATCAGCTAGCGAGGCATACCCAAGCACCCTCAGTTTTGTTTCAGCAGTCTCCAAGAACTTTGTGTCCAGCGCTATCAACAAACGATCGAATTCAACTTGGTTCCTGATATCATAGACACCACCATCAGTGGTAATCGTGACTCTTTTGAGTGTCATGATGCTTGGAATAAGGCTTGATCACACACACAAAATGATGAGTAAACTATGCGATGAATGGATGTGACCGATCGAGGTGCCTTAAAATCTGTGGTCTGGATACTTAGCCGCAGCGTGCATGCTGTCTTTTGGTGGCCTAAGCCAGCAATAAGACCTGTTTGAAAACTTGTAATGTACATGCGTTGGTAATGATTCATGAATTCAGTTGCTAACTGCATGAGATACACATATATGTGGTGTATGTGTTGCATCAAAATCTGTGATATGGGCACTCTGTTCAAAAAAATTCTTCTTCCGTTTTATTTCGTCACGTCATTGTTCCTATTGCATTGCTTGGTCTTGCAACAAATGGACTAGCTCGATCAAACAAATAATGGAAAAGAGTGATGATTGTACAGTATAATATTTGGTGCTGGGTGATTTCGACAATAGTCCCTGGTACCCCTGGTACTAGACTACGGTAGTATTGTAGTTCGAGCAAGGGTACCGTATAGTTCGAATAAAATAGTTGCATACAGTATGTTGGTTTATTCATATTCGAATATTGTATTGTATATCCGCCATCCTAAGCGCTACGAACGCGAAAACCAAACGCGCAAAACAATCAGATAAAAATCAGGTACCCGGAAGTGGTAACGAGCGTGCGCGATCACGAAACATTGAACATCATCATATGAAGACTTTCCTCATGTCGAAAACCTTGCTACGACAATGGCGATAACAAATGACTACAGCCATGGTGCAACGCCAAAAATGCGACCATGAAGAGGGCAATCCATAATATGCTTAGCACCAATACTTTGTCATGAATCATCATGAAGAAAGACCAGAAATTGGAGTTTGAAACAAGCGTGCCCGTTTGCTGGCGAAACCGTGAAAAAACTTCTCCCAAACTTTCGATTTGCTTTGAAACGGTTTTCTTCACTAGCTTTTCTACTGAGCTTGGTACATCTTTTGGATGACTTTTGAGATTTCCGATACAATCTCTTTCGGCTACCAACGAGTCTACAAGAATCTGGAATCTTTTGCAACTGACCTGGTTGCTGCCGCCCCAGCTTGGCCTACCGGTAGCTTTGATTCTGAACTCACTGTCAGCGATGATTTTAATAGAATGGAATCCTTATTTTCCAAGGACCCATTCGGCTCAACATCAGTTCCACCATTTCTCTCTCTTGAGGACGCTCAATCAATTGTAATGGAGATCTTGGACGTGATATCTTTTGGTGTTACAAGTTTTTCTCCCCTGAACCTGAAACATGTGAGCTTGAAAGAGAGCTACTCAGTATGTTCATCTACCTCTTCCGTTTGATCCTCCTGCAACATCAAGGCCAGCTCGATCTTTGGAGTTGGCCTACAGGGGTACTACTGCACCAAAACATTGCAGTAGGTAGTCGCGAAAGTTTAAAGAGAACATAGATAAAATGAAAACATTGGGAGGAAGATCGTATGGTTGCTGGTTGGGCGATGTGCAGATATTATTATGGAAACAAGAGAGCCAGATGGGAACTCGAAATACGAATTATATATGATGACAGTCAAAAAGTCATTTGGCCTTCAATAATACAAACTTTGAATGGGAACAATCACAAAAGTTCGAAAGTGAACAAAACAATTTTAGAACATAATTGCACAAGATGCAAAGTAAAACAGCAGCCAATCCTACTAGCAGTAGTGGCTATAATGTCAAAAGCATGGAGATGGCCACTGAACTTGGAGGTGACCACATTGATGGATTTTGATGACCAGCAGATGAAATGATGTCAATTCGCATTCCAAAAGTTGTGGTGTGTAGGTATATAGATTCAGGTGGACGGATGTTACCATTGCTGGGTCGATTGGCACCCAAATTGGGTTGTCATTCGTCATGCCCGCGGGTAGACAGTATAAGTTCGATCAGACAACATCCGAAGTAGACAATACCCTGTGCAACAAAACCTAAAATTGATTTGTGCAACGTATAATAATATATAAAGTACATCGTATCTAAAGCAAGTCATAACTTGAGCTCGATTTTTGCAAATTTTCACTCTACCAGTACTAATCAGGTCAATGTTGGTCTTCGGGTGACATACAAACCTTTGGCAAGTTTTCGCAAGTATACAGCATAACCCTCGTCTTCCCCGTGTTCCTCCAAAACTATATCAAGAGCCTGTTGGTACACGGCACGGCTTTCGGCATCTTTGTTTTGCTTGGCCAAGACTTTACCCAGGTAGTAGTAGGTATCAATGCAGTCCAGTGTTTGACGACGTTCCGGAATGTTCAAATCAATTTCGATAGCTTGGCGATATGAATTCGTTGCTTCCTTATATTTCCCTTGCCCGTCATAGGCACATCCGACATCGCGGTATGCCTCGGCAACATCTCCATGACTATTTCCCAAGACTTCTAATCGAATGTCAAGCGCTTTTTGGTGGTTCTTCAACGCTTCATCATATAAACCTCCATGGTAGAAAACACTCCCGACTTTGGAATATGATTGGGCAGTGTCAACATGACGATTTCCCAAGACGTTCAATCGAATATCAAGAGCCTTTTGGTGGCTCTCCAACATTTCGTCGCCGCCAGATTTTCCCTCGAACAAGACTCCGATTTTGTAGTACGATTCGGCAGTGTCGGCATGACGATTTCCCAACACCTTCAATCGAATATCTAATGCCTTTCGGTAGTGCCTCAATGCTTCATCATATTTCAATTGTTCGCGCAAGGCATCCCCGATACTGTTGTATGAGCGAGCAGTGTCAACATGACGAAATCCCAACTCATCCAATCTAATCTCAAGAGCCTCTTGGAAAAGGTGAATTGCTTCCACATATCTCCTTTTCTTTTTCAAATCATTCCCATCATCCATGAATTTTCTGGCTTGACTCAATTGTTTCTCCTTTTCGCACTCATCAAGCTGGTGTTTCGTTGTGCCATTGTATTTAATCTCTTTTGCAGCATCACTGTCACTGCTGATGTTAATGATTTCACCTTTGTTCGTTGTCTTTTGTTTCTTCTTTCTCTTTGTTTGGTTGCCGCCGTCGGTCCTTTCCTCTTTTGGTCTTTTCGCATTGGCTTTCGCATCAGCATTATCATCATCATCATCATCGTCATTGTTACTACCGTTCCTGGCATTTGTGGGATCCGCCTGGCCTTCTGCCTGATTCATCGTTTCAGGATTGGCTGGTAGTAGTGCACCAGATGGAGGGGCATTGGGTGGTTTTGGTTCTACATCCTCGTTCGTGAGCGCATCCATCGTTGTTGTATCAAGATTTTGGCGAGAGACCTTTGCAGTGTAGGTTCCTCCATCAGATAGCGAGGCATATCCAAGAACCCTCCGTTTCGTTTCAGCGTTCACCAAATAGGGTACTGTCTTATTCTTGAACGAGGCCAACAAACGATCGAATTCTTTGTCATTGCTGATATCATAGACACCACCATCGTCGGCAATGGTGATGGTTTTGAGTATCATAATGTTTTGGAATCCGAATGTAAGTATTAGACTTGATCGCAGCACAACAAGGATACGATAGTGACTGCTATGCAAGGATGATGAATTTATGCAGATGTGAAATCTATACGACAACAAGTAGTAGAACCTCCGCGAGGTCGGATGACACTAGCAGGAGCCTCATCAGCGTGCAAGCGTGCCTTGTGTTGGTCTCTATACAATAGCCGATAGTCACGAAGCCACATGATATATGATATGCGTTACATCAAAATCTGTGTCGTTGGTTGGCGTACTACTGGTAGTGAATGAATAGTCGGAAGCGACAACAATGATCTTGTCCTTTCACTTGTTCATGACTAGTACGACCAAAAAGATGATTCAAAACGAGGCGGATGATATCATTGGCTACGCCACCACGCACGTCATCGAACAGGCAGGTTTGGTGACACCTCGGAACAGTCAGAATGGAATCACAAAATCAGAACAAATCAATCAAGAGAACTGACATTATCAATCAAACGTGTTTCCAGTGTTTGACACGATTTCATTGTTCTTTCTTCCATCGATCTCCTTTGGATCTCTTTTCTTTTCATCTCATTCTCATTCCCATTCATTCATTCTTTACAATCAGCAAGTCGACTATCATCGCAGCATACTCGTTGCAGACAGCAAACAAACAAACAAACAAACAAGCACTTGACACAGACTATCCAAGACCGGAATTCCTCTTGCAGCCACGCAATTCATCAGAGCATTTCCAATTATCATCATCATGAGTGCAATCAGTTACATCCTTGCCATTGCCACGATTCTCATCGTGCCCACTTCAGCGTTTACCACAAGTCACAAGAAGACGGCAAGAACCTCCTCGTCTACGGCATTTCGAATGGTCTCGCGAGAGGAATATCTGAAACCCCACTTTCACACAACCGTACGACCAACAACAAGCATGCTCAACTTTGATCATCCAGCATCCACTACAATGACGAAGTCTGTGCCGTCATCATCATCATCATCCTCAGTGGAACAACGTGTTCATGACTATTGCGAAAACAAGGGTGGATGTGACTTGGAAGAAATGGCATTGCTCCTGGAAGATTTCGAACAGGTCAATCACGCTGCGTCGTCGTCTTTGTTTTCGTTTGACACGACCCAAACCGAACTTCGACCACAAGAAGAAAAGGGTGCACCAGTGAAACGCAAAGTTGACTTGGAGCAACATCTTCGACGCATGCATGAAATTGCGGATATGGAAGAACACTAACAAGCAACAACAATACATTCACTGACGATGATGGATTGGAATACTATTGTTCCGTCTATTCTATTCAGATTTGCCCCATTTTTTCTTTCTGGAATCACCATTTCCACTAATCCAACTCACTGCACACACACACACACAATAAGGCCCAGCCATGATCTGCTACGTATGATCATTCATTCGGGTCTGGAGGAATGAAGTGAATGTTGATGATGGCTTGCGACATACTCCATGTTGTTAGCTGTTTCATTTTCTTCTCTCGATGCTATGCTATTGCCCTATTTCAAGATACCAAAATATAACACATAAAAATCTATACAGCTCACGATGCATACAGTAGGCAATAACTACCGTACACTCTGTTTTAGTGAGTGCCAGTAGTGGTATTAATACCGCTTTCTCATTGTTTTCAGTTTTCAGCCAAATTGATTCGGATTGGTCATATTGTTTTGTGATGATGATGACATACATTTCGAATATAATACACTATTGCTACAGTATAATATCATCATCATCATCATCATCATCATCGTCACTTTGTATATCTACACATCATGATTCGTGTCACTTGGTGGCTTCTTTTGGCTATCATGTGTGTCTACCATCCATCGGTACAGGCCGCACCATTCTTGACAACAACATCAACATCAACAACAACAACAACAACATCATCATCATCAATCATAATACCACAACCAACAAATGAGATAATATCGACTTCTTCTACCAATAAGAAAGGTACCATCAATTCTATTGAGATCATTCAGTCTCGTGGAGGAGCTGCCATTGCGACTGATCCTGCTAGTATGATTATTACTACTACTCTTTTGGATGTCCTGTTTTCTCCTCGCGTGGCGCTCAAGACACTGGCCGTGGGACTGGGATGCTTTGGTCTGGAACTCTTATTGTTTCCATTATTGTTTCGTGATGCCTTTCTCAATCTTCAAGGTCTGGAAATGGGTTTGGCGACTGACTTTTTGCAATATTGGTTGGGGATTCGTGAATTGTTCTTGTCGGTACTACTTTGGAATTCGGCTTCCAATGGAAGTGACCAAGTGTGTCGGCGGTTATCGACCTTGGCCTTTGCGACGCTAAACATTCCGCAACTGTACTACATTGTGCGATATGGGGACAATTTGTTTCGGAATTCGCAAGTAAAACGTTTCATGTTAGGGTTTCAGGGATTCTTCTTTTTGTTGAATGGTGGTGCTACAATCAAAGCATGGACTCAGAAGATAATATGGTAGTCCTAGTACAATGATAATTGTATTGATGCATATTCGTTTTCACCGTCACCGTCACCGTCACCGTCATTGTCGTGGTTTCAAAATGGTCAGCATTCCTTCGACATTGGCTCCTTGATTCGTTCGAAGGCAATCCGCTAGTTCCTTGGCCACAATTTCAAATTCATGCTCCTTGGCCAATTCCAGAATGTACTGCTCCGTGTGGGAAAAACGAGCACAGGAATGCAGTCGAAAGTTTTCCTCGCTTATGATTACTGTTTGTGGTCCATGATGGCGCAAGAGCTCGGTCGAAAAGCAAAAGAATCCATCGGACGATAAGAGTCTCTTGACCGATGCAAATACCGTTGACAAGTCTCCAATGTAACAAAAGACATCGCATGCCAAGATTAGATCGTACTTGGAACCAATACTGTCGTCGCTTATTGTTGTGCTGCCTCCTCCTTCTGCTCCTTCTGCTCCTTCTGCTATTGCTACTACTTCTTGCAATAACGCATCCACGACATCGGCAACTTTCAAACTATCGTAACAGTTCCGTTCTCTCGCCTTGGCAATCATTTCGGGTGACAAGTCAACTCCATCCATTTTACAAACAACGTCTTGAAAGGCGAGACCACTAATTCCCGTACCACATCCCAAATCCAAACAACAATAATGGCGATGTTGTTGTTGTTGTTGTTGTTGCTGTTGTTGCAACTGTTTCTTCTTGTCCTTATTGCCTTGAACAGCAACATTAGCAACAACCACTGCCTGGTCAAAGAGTTGTCGCAATTTGGTGGGCGTTTGATAGTCCAACTTTTCGACTAATAATTCATCAAAACGATCGGCAAAGGTCGAGTAGAGTCCGACAATGTATTCTGGTGGACAGCGGGAGACCAAATGGTGATGATTGTGCTTGTTGTGATGGTTGCTGTCATTTGTCGATGCTGATAGTTGTCCGAGTGTCCCCAACCAGAACCGTGCCATGGCGGATTGTGATTGTAGTGGTGATGGTGATGGTGATGCTGTTGTTAACTTGGACGACGTTGTGTTCGAGCATTGTCTCGTGATGCAGTTGGTCAAGTGATGGCGCGCCCGAGGTACTTGGATCGCAACGGGATCCTTTTTGCGAAAAAAAAGACCCAACTTGTATTCTTGCTGGACCAAGAACTGTGTTTGTTCCTCCGATGTTATTGTTGTTGCTGTTGCTGTTGCTGTTGCTGTTGCTGTTGCTGAAATTCCCCATGCTTTGGTCAGTAAGGTTTTTAGTTTTTGGTAACTAGTCTCTTCCGCAGCACTCAACGGCCGTCGACTGGGATGTTGTTTGGATGCCTTGCCCATTTTGCCCTTGACTTTACGAGCTTCCAATTCGCGAGGCTCCAACAATTGACGGACCAGCAGTCCGATCAATGCAATGATGTACTTGTCGTCCTCCTCCTGCTCGGAACAAGAAATGGCTTTCTCCAGCATGGTCATTCGTTCGGCGGAATAATCGACTGACGACGGATAAATATTGGACAGAGCCGCATAACCAAATGGCTTTTGGGGTGCCGTTTGAATGGCTCGTTCTGCAAGCATGATGGCTTCCGTTTGCAATCGTTTGCTTTCATTTATTAGTCTCGCATCAGCACTAGCGGCAGGCGTATTGCCCACTTTCTCGAATTCAGACGCGAGTTCTCGAGATCGTTGGGCCAAATGCAAGGCCAAGGTACTCATCAATTTGGCATTCTTATTGGGCTTTTCTTCCAGTCGTTTCCGCAACTGAGATTCCTTTAATCGAAAATTCTGGGTTTGTCTACAAGTATCGTCTACTTCGTCTATTTCGTCGTCGTCGTCGTCGTTGTTTTCATCATGACCCAGATTGTGGTTCATGTCGTGGTGATGGACACTAACTATATTATAATGATTGATGGATGATGGATGGTCATCAATAAGAAAAGTTGTGGATGTGGCGAAAAGATGTTTGAATGCGCGGTTGTTGTTCGCGGACGGCAATTGAATCGTGTTTCGTAGCGACGTAATGACGTGAAGTTTTTAAGAGCTGATGTGGGATGTGGCTACCAGGGTACTACTGTACCGTAGCTAAAGGATTTCATGTGAAATGAAAGCGTGACACCAGACAACGAAAGCGTGACACCAGGCAACGAAAGCGTGACACCAGGCAACGAAAGCGTGACGGAATGGGTGATGGGGGGTGGTGGTGGTGGTGTTCCAAAACTACGGTTTCTCATCGTGGAAAAACACGATGGAAAAAAGTTTCGAACAGAAAATCATCATGCGCGCGCGCGTGTCTGTGATGCCGGAATCACTCAAATAAAAACTTCCATAGTACTATTATAATATACGAATCATATTTTAAAATCAATTTTCATCTCATCACATCATAAACATCACATCCCATCCCATTTACATGCGAACACAACACCTATGTACATTGGCTTGTCATCTGGAAGGCCAAAATGATTGTTTCAATGTCATTCATTCATTCACTCAATCATTCATCCGTAGGTAATTCTGATTGTTGATGCCTCTTGTCATACATACCCTATATGTATATAGATATATTATACATCCATTTGTACTATGCCTACCGGTTCCATTCTCCCCGGAATGAACGATTGAGCAATAAGACTTTGGACCAGTCGGTACTATATAATATTGAATATATCCAAACTCACCTCGGACCAAAAGTTTCCTCCTCCCGGTGCCTATTGACTGGAATATGACGGAACATTGATGGTATGTACAGTTGTAGTATATATGGAGTTCAGAAACGTATTGCGAGACTGACTGATTGACTCCTCCTTTATTAGAAGAGAATGACGAAGAACCCGCATTATATCATCATCGTTGTTTTGTTTTCAAGCAGGAGATATTTTCTTGATATGCTATATACTATATATAGGGAAAGCATGGCAAGCACTCGTTATTGTCATCGCCACTGCTTCCAAATTATGGACCATGTGATTTACATTATTGGACGAGTTGCAGAAATGAAGCCATATATCCTTGGATGAGGATCTCCCAACGATACATAGGCTTGAACAGCAATATACTGCACCTTCTTTTCTCACGTTAATCTCGGGTTCAGAGGCCTCGACGGCGTTATTGGCAGGATTAGGTTGCCCTCCTGACCAGCCATATATATCCGCCAGGAGTGGCTGATCATGTACAAATCGACAAATTCCAATTTTTAAAAACGTTTCAAGCAGGATTGTGGCTCAAATAGAAGGAAGTGCGAAAAAAGAAGGTCCAGTACTCCACCTATGCTACACTGGAGTCTGCTGGCTGGTCGTGGTGGTCCCTGAGAAAATAATGAGAGCATTTGTTTATTTCTGAATGGTGGTGGCATCATGATGATGACAAAAGAGTTTCTAAAATGATCGTGGCCTTTTTTTAAAGACCGGAACGAAGGCTAGAGGAGGTCCACCACCACAAGGCTGTCGCTCTTGAATCAATCAAGAAAACCTAACTATACTACTGCTGTACAATATGTGGCAGTCCATGATCATGCTGAAGCCGTTCCTCCTACTTTACGCTGAGAGCAATGCATACGATCATACTGGTTGCCATGATAGATTATAGATGCTATATTACACCTAGCGACATGTTGGACACGAGAAGTGCCATAGACAGCAGAGGGTGTTTGACCTGTTCGCCCTGTGAGGGACGGGTTATTTCCGACAAAACCCTGCCACCAACCATATATAGTGTAGCTTGGACCGCCCCAAACTCTTTGGAATAGCCTTGTATCGATACAGCAGTCATCGAGCTGCTACTTTCTACTACTCCAAGTTTTAGAATTCTATTTTATGTAGTTTTGGTTGGGCAGGACTAAGCTATATACCGTAATATGTTTTCGAGAGGCTTATTGATTCAACTCATTGCTATTATCCCGATTTCAAAAAACCAGCTTCCACGTGGAATCTTTTGAGGCTTTCAGCTGTTGAAGTTGAACTCAAGATACGATTCTTCGGGTAGACTTCCGCGTGTTCTCCAACGACGAATAGTAGGCAATTCTTGTCGTTGCCTTTTTCGTACCGGTACCGAGCCAACATTGAATTCAAATACTATACCCACTACAACAATAGCCACCATGAAGACTTGCTTTGTTTCTTTCCTGGCGCTTTCTACTAGCGTTACTGCCTTTGCACCAGCTTCCTCCTCTCAACAACAACAACAACAACAACAACAACAACAACAACGACAGCAAGAACCATCATCCTTCTTGTTGTTGTCGGCTGCTTCTCCCTTGGAAGTCGACACTGCGGATGCTCCGTTGGATCCCTTTGACGCCTTTGATTCCACTGCCGAAGACATTGTCATTCGCGAGACTGTCGCAGGAAGTGGAGAAGCAGTCGGAGATGGCGATGTGGTCACGGTCAAGTACGAAAGCCGCCTGTTTGAATCTCAAGTCAAATTTGGTTCCACCGAATCTCTGGCCGTCAAGTTGGGCGACGGTGCCTTGGTCAAGGGCTTTGAGCAAGCCTTGACGGGCAAAAAGGTGGGATCTCAATTCACCGTCCGCATTCCTTCCAAGTTGGCTTGGGGAAACCGCGGGAAGGAATCCCAAATGACGGGACGGATCGTCGTTCCACCGGGAAGTGATATCGAATTTGATGTCGAGGTCTTGGACGTTGCCACTGGATTCATGGGAGAATTAGAAATATTTGGAAAGGATCGTGCTCTTGGTTTGATTGCTTGTTTTGCTTTGAGTGCTGGTGCTCCAGCCATTGAAAAGTTTGTGGACAAGGTCTTTTCATAAGGCTTTTTTGTTGATGATGGACGGCAGTTGACGAGAGAGAAGACGCACAGCTTGCAAACCGGTACATTGGAAGGCTGTTGTATAGTAGAACGAAAAAAGAAAATGAAATAAAATAAAAAGACTGAATTTGCATAATATATATACTCGATATAGTCTGTCGTTCATTTTGGTTTCCTACTCCTTGGCAGTTTTTAGAATGATACAGTACGTGCCAGCCTATCCGACCAGGATTAATCCTGATATTATGCAAAGCAAAGAAGGACCAACATGGTAGAACAATGATGATTGACGTCAGATGGAATATATATAAAAATAGACGTGGGAGTTAGAGAAAAGACGGCGGATATTGCGCAAACAAGAAAATCCACCTGGCTGAATCCATCCTCTGTACCATCCAACGATCAGAACTGAACGTGATGCGAGGCCAAGAAGGAGCAATCAACCATAATAATAATTATAATAATAATGGGCACCACGATAGGAGGTCATAGCCAATCGATGATGGTATCACTAGTATAGTACTCTCCTTAGGTATCATATGAACATCCTTGTACTACTTAGAGTTCTTCTAGAGGCTTTTTAACTTGGCGGATCCCCTGTAAACGCATGCATTTGACGCCAATTCAAGGCATCCAGCTGTGTCCAAGAACATGGTACCCCTGCAAATTGGATAGAAACTTTTAGTGGCAGTATCATTATTCTATCACTTGTCACAACGGTTGGGCAAAAATGGGAAAAGAATACAACACCTGGGATTCCAACGTGGTCCCCCACCGTAGTACTAACCAGGCCCGAACATGCTTAACTTCGCTGAGCGGACGGGAAGCGGTGCTGTCATGTTGGTATGGTCGTATCCGCAAGTACCGGTGGTTCCAGAGTATTTGAACTGACTAATGCATGTTGCCCGGAATGCAGGATTGCTGTCATTTATTAGAAGAAATGAATGAATCAATCAATACCTCATTCTCAGAACCCAATTCATCTTTTGTTCCAGAGTATTTGAACTGACTAATGCATGTTGCCCGGAATGCAGGATTGCTGTCATTTATTAGAAGAAATGAATGAATGAATCAATACCTCATTCTCAGAACCCAATTCATCTTTTGTTTCGTTCCGCCCTGAAAGAACTCTCATGGAGATTTCAGCTAAATATAACTTCTGGTTGAAAGGAATGTCTTTCAATTGCCAATAAACTTTGTTGTTGAATGCTGTGCTTACCAATAAGGGTTGATTCTTCTACCCCTGTAGGCAGCACGTTTCTTGGATTTTGGTTGTTCTTCGATAGTGGTTTCGACCAACTTGTGGGCTCCGGACAGATCAAGGATTTTCATTGGATCTAAAGTAGTGCCTTGACTGGGTAGTGTTTTTCCATTCATTTAGCTAGTACTAGAGTACTAAGAACTTCCAAACACCTTTTCTCATCAGTGTGAACCAAGTTTTTGGAATTGGTGGAATCTTCCATTTTGCAAACTCCTTTCCCTTGTATCCATGTTTGGATTGAAGAAGCATGAGTATGAGAATCTTTGTGGATGGATTTGCCATGTTTAAGATTGACAGTGGCATCTCTCAGGCGAAGAAGTTCAAGGTAGGTTCAGTTTCCATCATTTCTTTTGGATTGTCAATGATGAAATTCTTGGAGAATGACAGAAATTGCATCAAGGTCAGTTCCAGTTTCATTCAGCAGATCTAGTAGAATCTGTCAAAAATCTGTAACGAACATCTCAACATCAGTATCTTGATCCAATCTGATATCCATCAAATTTTTGACAGCGGTAACAACATAGTTTGCTCTGTTAGTAGCTGGATTATTAAAACTCTTCTCAAGGACAAGATTGAAGTCCTTTGCAGCTTCCAATCGACCAGAGAATGCTGGCTGGTAGACGGGGTCCATGTGCTTTGAACGAGCGATCATCCGTTCCAGTTTTATTGGAAGAACTTGGTGAAGGGATTGATGGTTGTGTCAAAAACGAATTGTGAAAAATCAACTCCTTCTAGTAGTTCCACCCGAGTAGTCCTAGAAATGCCTGCTGAATTGAGACAGTCTTCGACTTCCTTCTGTTTCACAGCATTGTGCGTGACCCTTGCTAAAGAACCGATGACATTGATATCATCATCTGAGAATGGTGCTGTTTCCACAGTTGCTGCTGGAGGTTTCTGAACCATTTCTGAGTCTACGGAAGTCATAATCTTCAGATTCGTCCCTCTGTTGAGCAGGTTGCTTTCCAACTGGATTTATGGGGGTATTACTAGTAGGACTCATCTAACCTATGGTATGCTGAGCAAGGACATGTGAATCAACAGGAACTCATATAATAAAAGAGTGGTTTCATTAGGTGACTCGCTGGTTTGTGACTGTGCTTATGAGGGACAGATGACTCTGTCCTGCTATTCAATAATTATCACCAATCAACATCAAAAATGGGAAAAGAATACAACACCTGGGATTCCAACGTGGTCCCCCACCGTAGTACTAACCAGGCCCGAACATGCTTAACTTCGCTGAGCGGACGGGAAGCGGTGCTGTCATGTTGGTATGGTCGTATCCGCAAATGGAGGTGGTTCCAGAGTCTGCGAACTGAGTAATGCATGTTGCCCGGATTGCCGTCATTAGAAGAAATGAATGAAATCAATCACTCATTCTCAGAACCCAATTCATCTTTTGTTCGTGAAAGAACTTTCATGGAGATTTCAGCTAAATATAAGTTCTGGTTGAAAAGAATGTCTTTCAATTGCCAATAAATTTTGTTGAATGTGCTTACCGATAAGGGTTGATTCTTCTACTACTACTGTTCCCTTCCTTCAGTCGCCCACTGAACGGACTGACTCGTTCGATCGAAAAACGTCATCAAACCACACCATTCTCATAATCTCTTGTTTCGTTGCCATATCCCTAGCTTTTTTCCGTCGGTTTCAAGCGACAAAGAATCAATCTATTCCTGACTAGCACCGAAGAACTATCAATCCACTACTAAATATCTACGAATCAAATATATCGGTCGCTCTTCACATTCAGATATTCAAAAGTCACAGACTACATCAGCCAAACGAGCCATCATCACAATGAAGAACTCAATGAGACTCTCCAGCCTATTGCTATTGATTCTTGCGACCCAAGAACTTGAAGCCTTTCAAATGACATCCTCCAATGGCGATGTCAACAGTCAGAATAAGAAAAGTCTATCCGTTCCCAACCAACGTCGACGACGTGTCTTGCAAGCTGGAGCAGGTGGCATTTTCAGCGGCCTTCCCTTTTTTGGGAATGGCGGCGGTGGTGTGGACGCAGCAGTAGCCGCCACAATCAAGAACAACAAGACCGGTGGTGGAGGTCCCACGAATGAAGTTGTCAAGGTAGTAAATGGTATCAAGCATCGAAGACTTGGAGGTTCCGACATTGTGGTCAGTGAAATCGGATTGGGTGCCCAGCGATGGGTGTCTGCTGATTTCAATGCTCCAGATAAGGATCTGTGTTATCAATTCATGGATGAAGCTATTTTGAAGCGAGGAGTCAATCTCATTGACACAGCAGAGCAATGTAAGTCTTACCATCTCATCTCATCGAAAAGCAGAAAGATTCGAAACCTCAATCTCGTTCCCGTTCAATCGCTCTCGTCAAAAAATCTGTGGCTGGAATGACGAACTAATGTTACATCACTGGATACAATACGGACAGATCCAATGTAAGTCCATCTGCCGATAAAAGATCCACCATGGTTTATCGTGCCTGGGAATGGATTCCGAGACTTGTTGACGTTGCCTGTATGCATTACCTATGTTGTCACTCATGGATTCCTGGTCGCTCTCTCTACCTTATTACCATATAATCCAACAACTCTGTACTCCATGATATCAGTCCAAGTGATGGCCGAACTGCCAATGAAGGAGATTCGGAATTGCTGATTGGCAGTTGGATGAAGGATCGCAAGGTCAAGCGAGAAGACGTGGTCATTGCCACCAAGATTACCGGCGGAAGGAACATTACTCCACGCAACATTGAGGCGGATCTAGAGGGAAGTCTAAAGCGATTGGGAACAGATTACGTTGATGTTTATCTCCTTCATTGGCCCCAACGATACTCGCCCCAGTCAAATTGGGGTCAATCCCTCAAATATGATATCGCAAATGATGCCTCTCCCTACTGGCGTCGCAATGGAGGGCCTACATCCTTCGAAGACTTGTGTATGGCTATGGAAAAGATGATTCAAAAGGGCAAAATTCGTGGATGGGGCATGTGCAATGACAATGCCTACGGCTTGACGGCTAGCACTCGGACGGCCAAAATGTTGGGCACCACACCTCCCGCTTGCTTGCAGGGTGACTTTAGCATGTTGGATCGCAAGAGTGAAGAAAATGGTGTCGCCGAAGCTGCGTCCCCCTTTAACGAAAATGTTGGATTCATGTCGTACAATGCCTTGGCCGGTGGCATGTTGACGGGCAAGTACCTGGATATCCCAGCTGCCTTTGATGATCCCAAGCGAGAACGTGCCATGGCGTCCCTAGAAAAACCACGGGGTCGTATGGATACTCGAGGTTGGGGTGGTACACTTTACCGCTATCGGACTGAATCTGCCTATGAAGCCATTGCAGACTATGCCAAGTTGGCCAAGGCCAATAAAATGTCCTTGACGGAACTGGCGCTGAGATGGAACCGTCAGAGGGACATGTTGACTACTACATTGTTGGGACACACTTCCATGGCTCAACTCAAGGAGACTCTAGATATTTTCAGCATCAAGGAGCCCTTGCCAGATGATCTGATGTGGGAAATTGAGTAAGTCCGAATTTCTTTGTGTGCTGGACAATGCAGATGATTGAAACTCACGACCGATTGATTCCTTCCTCTATCATTATGCTTGCGATATTAGCCGAATTCACATGAGAAACCGATTGCCCCTCTTCAGCAGCAACAGCGTCGGGAAAGACTGGAACGGAGAGGGCGAAATCGGGGAACCAATTCCATAGATATAACCGATGCTTATTGTGCTTTTGCGTGGATATTACTTCTCAATAAATCCAGTGCTTTTATTATTTTCCACGTTGAGTGTTCGTTTTTGTATATTGATTGCAAATTCGAATGTGTCCGTTGAGAACTGAAGGAATGTTTTGTTACGTCATTGCATCAAATCTTTATCAATAGCGTTGATTTCAATCAACAATATTTTGGATCAGTTAAAAACAGGATTCAATTGTGGGTGGTTTAGCGCCACTTTTAGCATTACCACTTTGACCAATCCAGATGAATCAATCAATTCTGTAGCTGGCATGCCTCATCCTATAATTCATGATCTGCAAATAACCTTCAACAACACACTGCCAACCTCATCCTGCTGTTATACCTCGACACTCTCTAGCACTACAAGACAACGGCAGCTAATGTCACCGAGGGATAGAAGCTTCATCAACGCTTTTGCCTCGCTTTCAAATCTGCGCTGAATCAGCTTTACCTGAATATAAAAAGCAATTCATTCCTTTCATCAGACATCAGATTAGAAAACAGATTCCATCAGAGGCGCCTTTACTACACACAACAACAATGGAATCTGCAGAGACGGCAACTCATGCTACCATCAATGATAATCATGTGAGACGGAAAAAATCGACGATAAACAGACGGCATACAACAACAATTGATAATATGGAAAGCGCTCCTAGAGTCAGCTATGTTTCTGTTGCCAGTGGCTTACTAGCTGGTATCACTTCAGCGGGTCTCTTTAATCCAATTGATAGGGCCTTGTATCTGAGTGTCAAGAACGAAATTCCTTTTCTGTCCAAAGAGAATTTTGCCAGTCCATATACTGGTTTCTTTCAGTCAGTGGGACATCGAGCCATCTCAGGCGGCCTGTATTATCCATTGGAACAGTTTTTCCTAACCCAAATGTCCCCAACCCCTGCTATGCTTTTGACGAGTGGTGCCGGAAATACTACCGTCCACAACTTTCTAGCAGGAACAGCCGCGGGTTCTTGCAATGCTATCATTGTCAATCCAATATCTGCTGTCAAATACAAAACCTGGGGACGAGAGAATCCTCGGGGATTTTTTGTGGAAGCAGCGGATATGCTACGAAAAGGAGGTATACGGCCGTTTACGAATGGAATGTTACCGACAGTTCTTCGTGATTTGGTATTTGGGGGCTGTTATACTGTGATAAGATTCGAATTGCAGTATCGATTTCAGCTGTCCAACAATGATTATCAATGGGCAGCCAATATGGCAGCTGCGGCCATGGCAACCATTGTTTCTGGTCCGTTCAACTTGGCACGGAATGTACAGTACGCAACTCGGTCACACAAAGCGGCTGATTCTGTGATCGAGGTATTTGTCAATTTTTTGGGTGAGGTGAAGGAACTTCCAACAGCTCTGCAAAAATGCAAACATGTGCAAAATCGGTTACGGATAGGATGGGGGACGGCCCGTGTGGCTATAGGAATGTCGTTTGGACATTTCGTATACGACCGTCTGCATTCTACTTATTATCAATTGCAAAAAGAAGGTAGAGTAATATGATAGTTCGTTTTTAATCGCCCTGGTCGTCGTCGTCATTGAGTTGAATAAATGAATCAATCAATCCTTGTAGTTTCAGTTGCTTGTCGTGTCCAACAAACACAGCTAATGGAAATCATATCGCATTAGGGCTGCGATGTGGTAAATATCCTCTCCCTCGGTGAGATATATCAGTACTGTGGCAGATCATTATACCGGTAGAAAGCTCCATGTCATCATATCTCTCACTATCGCATCGCATCTCACTCGTTCTAGACGACCCAATCGACCACAATACCACAATTCATTCCCGCTGTAGTTTCATTCCCGGAAGCCCTTGATTTTTCAACAAGCTCCCTGTACCAGGTACAGTAGATGAGAAGAAGCTACCGTACGGTATCTCGAAAGTTTCAAGTAGCAAAACAGGCCAAGCCACAGAGTTGGAGAGTGCAATGTCGATTGTTGTGCTTGCAGAACATAAACTAGGTATGAATTCATGATACAGTATCATACTTTACCGGTGGCGTATACTTTCAGTTGCATTTGCACGCAACTCAATTTTTTGGGTTCTCTTGCATTCGACTCACTGTATTTTATATTTTAAAAAATATATTCTTGTTCCATGATAATTCCGGAGTTTTGTTGTCGATATTCCACTTATATGCATAAGCTGAAGCTAATGGTGGAGAATAGAGAAGCATTTTTAATATAATTGATGTCGAATTTTAAAAAAGCTCCAAAGAATATCCAAAAGGGAACATGTGCCAGATTCATTCAACGCGGGAGCTTTTTGACTACAGGCCCAGCACATTTCAAGAAATAAAAGCATCTCAAAACAAAAAATTCACATCCATGGAGGTCGATTGTAAAACCTAAGACTCATCCTAGCAAAAGATTTATAACGTCAAAACCCCCTAATCTTTTTTATGAGGAAAATCAACCCACCATCAAGAACACTGCTGCTTTGTCTAATTGGTTGCTTCATTTCTTGTTTCACTTCAGAAGTTCAATCGCAGCCCGTTCTGAATACAGTCAGAGATTATGACTTGGCAAGATCAGAAGCATTAGAGGCGACACGCATTCAGTCCATCACTGTAGCTGATGGAGTACCATATTTGCATATAGCGAATTTAATTGGTTTCTCAACAATCGGAGACAATGGAAGACAACCCATTGATTTTGGTGGATATCAGGGAATGGCAGCGGTCTTACTCGCACTGGAACATTTGAATACAGGAAATGGAACCTTGGTGGAAGAAGTTGGGGGACTTGACGAGAGGTGTAACATTAAATTTACGTCTGAATTCAAAGATACAGCATTATCCGAAAGTGAATCTCTGAATCACGTTGTTGAGCTGACAGGTCGGTCTCAAGAAACGGAATTGCCGGCAGCTTATGTCGGTGCCTTTCGATCAGCCTGCAGTATGGTAACATCGTTAGTGACTGGGCTTCGAGGAATTCCACAAATATCTCCTGTCTCGACTAGCTCGCATCTGAATGATGTTGGTCAGTATCCTTTGTTTGGGCGAACTGTTCCATCAGATGATGGTACTGCTGTGCCAGCAATTAAGTATTTACGTGAACAGTTGGGAGTACGACATTTGGCCATTCTTTATGTAAATGATAGTTATGGGAATGCGTACACTGCTGGAATGCAGCTTGCGGCGGCACTGCATGCACCAGACATGACAATTCATGCCTTTGATCTTCCAATAACACTAACACCAGACGTCGTGGAAAATGCAGTTTCTGTTCTGAAGAGTTCAGGCTACCTCTATTTCTTTGGAATCTTCGATCCCCGTCAATACGAGCCAATCATGACCGAGGCCTATCATCAAGGAATTGCTGGAGACGGAGAACACAACTGGATGTTTTCCGATGCCCTTTCCACCAGCGTTACACAAAGAGGCATTGATGCCAACTCCCCCCTTCGTTTTGCGATCCAAGGGTCGATTCAGATTGCAGCCGTAGGCGGAGTACCCGGCCGAGATCCAAGATATGATCTGTTTCTGCAGTCCTTGAGAGATCTAAGAAACTCAGTCGACATGGCCACGCTGCAATCCTACCATCCGACGTACCCTGATGAACCGGAATACTATGTCCAAACGATTGCAGAGGATCCAGAAAGCTATTTTTCTCGTGTGACCACTGGATCGGTCCCTTTCATGTACGATGCAGTGATTGCGCTTGGATTGGCGGCATGCAACGTGGACTACAACGAAACTGATTACTTTGACGGATATCAGCACTTTGAGAAGTTCAAAGAGACTGAATTCGAAGGCGCCAGCGGCACTATCCGATTCGACCGTGCAACTGGAACCCGTCTAGCAGATGCGGCTCGGTTCACCATTACGAATTTTGTGCATATGGGCAACGTTGGAAACACAGCGACCTTCGAAAATGTGGAAACTGACGTTTTCCAGGATGGGGAGTGGATCAATGTCGAGCCCCGTGTATTCAACGACGGAACTTCAAATACTCCACCAGATTTGCCTCCTGTGGAACCAAACAATCTGTATATCGGAGCAGTCTTGCGAAGTATTGGTATTGTTATCACATGCTCGATCTGGGCGATTTCGATGGGACTCGCGCTGTGGATGGCATGCCATAGAGAAGCACCAGTTGTGAGAGCAAGTCAACCAATCTTTCTTGGAATCATTGCACTTGGATGTTTCCTGATGGGGACATCAATCATCTTTTTGAGTTTGGACGACGAAGTGGTATCTACCGAGACTTGCTCTGCCTTTTGCATCTTGGTTCCTTGGTTCTTCAGTTTTGGTTGGATCCTTTCTTTTTCCGCGCTCTATGCCAAGACATATAGAGTGAACAAAATCTTCCACAATCCAAAGTGTCGTCGCATGAAGGTGACTGTGAAAGATGTCATGGCGCCCATATTCCTGTTGCAGACCATTGCGAATACGATATTAATTGTTTGGTATTCGACTGCAAGACCGGAATGGGTTCGAGAGACCACCAAAGAGGATTTATTTGGACGAGAAATTGAAACAAGTGCCTCTTGTGATTACGGAGGGTCGACTGGCTTTATTATCTCCCTATGCACCTTGCTTCTGGCCGTTCTGTTTTACACACTTCAACAAGCCTATGCTGCGCGCGACGTATCTACTGAATTCGCTGAAACAGAGTACATATTCTTGGCTCTTGCAGAATTGCTACTTGTCAGTTTTGTTGGCTTCCCGGTTTTGATCATTGCGAACGACGATACTCGGGCCCGATTCTATGTTTCAGCGGCCGTCATTGCGGGAACGTGCATGTCGATTCTTGTACTTATATTCTTTCCGAAGGTTGCTGCTTTCAGATCGCAGCATGAACGAACTAAAAGAACACGCGAATACTCAAGTCAAGCGGGCAGTGATCGAGTCAGGATTTCTGGCTTTAGCATCATGACGAGGTTCGGAAATGGATCTCTCGATGAGGACGATGGAGATAGTATTGGCAACGTTTCTCGCTATTCGCGCATTTCTCGCTTTTCTCGCGTCGGAAGTGGTGAAGATGACAAGGCCGGTGTGAAAGTGGTGCAGCATCCACAAGAAAACGAAAAACTGAAGAAAACTGTTGCAGAACTTCAAAGCAAGAACAAAAAGTTAATGGCTCAAGTTTCGAGACTCGCAGAACTGCACAAAAAGACAGCAGCAAGATTGGATATGAGCGAAAGTGAATTATCTGAGTCAATGTTTCTGTCTACCACAGGCAACCTTGGCAACTCAAGTGCGTTTCTTCGTCTTCCAGCTGCTGATAGTCGTGGAACGGCGCCCACACACGATGGGGAAAATGATGCGTCAGACCTTTCTTAATGACAGGTAAAGCTGCTTCAATTGATCAATGACAAAGAAAGATCCCAATGAAGAATTCAGCGGCATTCGACGTTGACACATACCGGTTCACTGTAGAGTAATATATCTGTAACAATGTAATAATAGTTCGATCTGTACCTTTCGAACGCATTGCCACACCTGGGAAATGCCGCATTCAAGCGTATCATCTCCATGGTACCACAATATGAAGTATTTTCATCCACTGATCTAGGCTCACCTTTTTTTGTCGATTTCATTTGGTGGAGCTCGGGCCTCCCACAAGAAGTGGTCGTCATCCAACGTCGCCTAGGCACACACGACGGGGGAAAATGATGTGTCAGATCTTTGATGACAGATAAAGCGATTTCAATTGATCAAATGACCAAGAAAGAACCAGATGAAGAATTCGCCGTCATTCGACATACCGGCACCGGTACCACTATCAATCGCAAGATGGAGATGGAGTAATAAATTGTCAAGTTTCTTTTGGGGGACAGAAATAGGCTTCATAAAAAGGTTTTTCCTGTTGAACCCGCTTTGCTTTTATTACAATAGGTATGATACATGTACACATGTACGAGGTACGCGTACCAATGAGAATGCCGGTGCGTACCAGTTTGTTGCATGCACGAAATTACAAAAGTCCCAGTGACGACAATAAGATACAGTATAGACTGCGAGATGAGCGAAGCTAAATTATGCAATAATTATACGGCGGAAGTTTGAATACTGTACCTTGTATAATAATAAGACATAAAAACTGACTCTGAAACGACAACAACATCCAATCTTATGGCAAGCTCATAACAATGAAATTGGCGTCACCATCAAGGTCACTGCTGCTTTGTCTGATAATAATTTTCTTCACTTCTTGTTTCACTTCAGAAGTCCAATCACAACCTGTTCTGAATACACTCAGAGATTATGACTTGGCAAGATCACAAGCATTAGAGGCGACGCGCATTCAGTCCATCACTGTATCCGATGGAGTACCATATGCAGATATTGCCATGCTGATTCCCTTCTCGATCATCGGAGACAATGGAAGACAAGCGGTGAAAGAAGGTGGTTATCAGGGAATGGCAGCTGTCTTGCTCGCATTGGAACACTTGAATACAGGAAATGGAACCTTGGTGAAAGAAGTCGGAGGACTTGACGAGCGATGTAACATTAAGTTTACAACTGAAGTCAGGGATACAACACGATCTGAAATGGAATCGCTGAATCATGCAGTCGAGATGACCAGTCGAGATGAGGCGACAGAGCTCCCGACGGCATTCGTCGGTGCCTTTCGGTCGGCCGTCAGTATCGCGACATCCTTGGTAACAGGGCTGCGAGGGATTCCACAGATATCTCCGATTTCGACTAGTTCTCAGCTGGACAATGTTGCTCAATTTCCCTTGTTTGGGCGAACGGTTCCATCAGATGATGGTACTGCTGTGCCGGCCATTAAGTATTTGCGTCAAAAGTTGAAAGTGCGATATTTGGCCATTCTTCATATCAATGATAGTTATGGGAACGCCTATGCTGCCGGGATGCAGCGAGCGGCGGCTCTGTATGCTCCGGATATGACGATTCAAGCCTTTGACCTTCCATTGACACTCACAGCAGAAACTGTGGAAAGCGCCATTGCCGTTTTGAAGAGTACAGGTTACCAATATTTCTTTGGAATTTTCTTTACGCGCCAATACGAAATGGTCATGACAGAGGCTTATGCTCAGGGGATTGCTGGGGATGGAAAACATAATTGGATGTTTAGCGATGCCGTGTCCACCATCGTCACGCTCGAGGGGTTTGTCGCCGACTCGCCACTTCACTTGGCGACGCAAGGGGCGGTTCAGATTTCAGCCGTTGGTGGAGTGCCTGGTCGAGATGAAAGATATGATCTATTTTTACGTGCCATGAGAGATCTAAATAATCCGGTCGACATTGCGACACTGCAATCTTACCATCCAATCTACCCTGACGAACCAGAATACTCCACCTACACCATCGAGGAGGATCCTAATGGATTTTTTGATCTTATGACCATTGGATTGGTCCCTTTTCTATATGATGCGGCGATTGCGCTTGGGTTGGCGGCATGCAATATAGAAAACGACGAAAATGAGTACTTTGATGGATATCAGCATTTTGAGAAATTCAAGGAGACCGAATTCCAAGGCGCCAGTGGTAACAATCGCTTCGACCCAGAAACTGGGACGCGATTAGCAGATTCGGCTCGGTTCTCCCTTACGAACTTTGTACACGTGGGCACCATTGCGGACACTGCTTCGTTCAACAATGTGGAAACTGACATTTTTCAAGATGGGGAATGGATATCTGTCAAGAGCCGTATATTCAATGATGGAACCACGATTCCGCCGCCGGGTCTTCCTCCTGTGGTTCCAGCCAATCTTTACATAGGAAGAAGCTTGCGAAGTGTTGGTCTTGTTCTTGCAGGTGCTATCTTGACGCTTTCGATTGGATTCACAATATGGATGGTGAGATATCGAAAGACTCGAGTGGTGAAAGCAAGTCAGCCAATTTTTCTTGGAATAATTGCGTTGGGATGCTTTCTGATGGGCACATCGATCGTCTTTTTGAGTCTAGACGACGAGGTGGTATCCGCCGAAACTTGTTCTGCCTTTTGTATATTGACTCCTTGGTTCTTCAGTTTTGGTTGGGTCCTTTCTTTTTCGGCTCTCTTTGCCAAGACACAGAGAGTGAATAAAATCTTCCACAGTCCAAAGTTTCATCGAATGAAGGTGACTGTCAAAGATGTCATGGCGCCCATGATTGTACTTCAGACTCTGTCGAATTTGATATTAATTCTTTGGTACATTTATGCGAAACCAATGTGGATTCGAGAGACCACCAAAGAAGATTCATTTGGACGAGAAATCGAGACCAGGGCATTTTGCAGCTACGCAGGATCGATAGGCTTTGCAGTTTCGCTGGGCACCTTGCTTCTGGGAGTTTTAGGTTACACACTTCAACAAGCCTATGCCGCGCGCAACGTGTCTACGGAATTCGCTGAAACAGAGTACATATTCTTGGCTCTTGCAGCATTGCTGCTGGTCAGTTTTGTTGGCTTTCCGGTTTTGGTCATTGCCAAAGACGATACTCAGGCCCGATTCTATGTTTCAGCTGCCATCATTGCAGTAACCTCCCTATCCATTCTCTTGCTAATATTTGTTCCAAAGATTGCTGCTAAGAAACGAAGAAGGAGGGCATCCAGCGCCGGAGTACTTGAATTTACAAGCCGAACTGGGAGTCGAAAGTTCAAGATTTCGGGGTTGCACCCGAGAAGGAATTCCCATATCGGTGGTGGATTTCAAGAACCACCGAAGATCGAACAAGAAATCCTAGAGAGCGGAGATAATGATTCTTCCAGTGATAGTGATGATGATAAAGAAGGTGTTGCTGTAGTGCAGCATCCGAGAGCAGCGGAAAAGCTGAAGGAAACCGTGGAGGAACTTCAAAGCTGGAACACCAAGTTAATTGCTCAAGTAGCAAGACTCGAAGCACTGCACCGAAAGACGCATGCAAGATTGAACATGGCCACCAGACCACATGACTCGGCCAACCTTGGTGAATCGTCGTCCACCATTCGTCATCCATTTGATGATAGCGCACGAAGCAGGGGACCTTCGTTTGATCAGAGCATCAAACCAGTTCCCAACGAAGACGTCGAGAACAAAACGCCGAGCTTACAAGAAGCAGTCAAAGATGTGTAAAAATTTACCATCTTCACTCTGACGAAAAAAAGGGGGCAGAAGGAATATATAGAGGGGCTGTACCACTTATCCGGTTTTGTTTCATTAAATTAGATTGATGTACAAACTATACTGTATCGAAGTGCTATTTGCACATGGCCTATTCTGTTCAGTAGAACTACTACCAGCATCAATACTTTTTGAAAGTAAAATTCCAATGAAGTTTAGTTTAGTTTAGTATATGAAATATAGCATCGACGCAATCTATGTCGATTGTACAGGCTGGCCCATTGGACCAACCTTGCTTATGGGTATCTGGAAGCAGGTAGTTGCATCAATATCCCCTTTGTTTCATCACAGAATGATGCGAAGACATGAGACTCTTTGCCTTCTTCTGATGGTGATGACGATGCTGATGCTGTTTTGGAACAAGCGAATTTTTCATTCCGATACAGCGACTCCCCCATCATATTGCGACTCAGCATAGTGGGAGGGTGCAGGTGTCCGAGCTCTTCATCGCTCGTTTGCCGACATGGCAGCTTTGGTGCCATGCAATCGTTTGAATTTGCCAACGATGGCCTTTGTTTCTTTTGTGCTGAAGGAGCTTCCTTATAGACTGTCGCGGGGTTGGCACTCCTTGTAGGATTGTCTTGGATCAGTGTGAATGTGTCTGCATGCTTTTCAGCCAGTAACGTTTTGAAGAAACCTCCGAGTGGCATGGTACTGTTGTCGTTGTTAGAATCGATGTTGTGAAGAAGATCTACTCTTGAAGATGATTTCGCCTGCACTCTTTGTCTTGACTTTGTTGCAAACGAACTTCCACGACGACGATGACTCCTTGGTTCAATGCACATCTAACCGGTATGAAGGTAAAGTAACAAAAGGTCGGTCTGAAATCTGAAAATTGACAAAGTCTGATCTGAAATTGTGTGACAACCCCGAGTGTACCCGGTACTGAATGGGCTTTTCTATTTTTGTGTCAGATCCCTTATGTACAACTGTATGCAGGGAACGTTTTTTGAACAAGTCGTAAAACCGGTTTTGTCAAAGACTTCAATGACCTCCGCCGCTTATAGATATATACATAACTCTAAGTTAATCTTTCTTCTCCCGCGATCTCCCTGTGATTTTTACCCGAGCCAATTAGTCCGACGCCAGATCTTCACGTTTTCCGTCAATTTGTTTTTGAGCTGAATGTTTCACATGTGTTCAATGAGTATCGCATCTGATAGAGACAGTACGAAAACGTTGGGTCTACGCAACAATGCTACAGTATGTTCGGCATTAAAAAAAAACAAGGTGAAACATAATCCAGTTGCTTTGCCGTCAATGCATCTGATGACAAAAGGGGTACGGTACCGCATATATGAATAGATGTTTTTTTATTTTGGTACAGTAGTTTCTGCAGTCTGTACGTCGCTACGATTCACCCTAGAGTAACAGTGACTCCGATCCTTCCTCACAGTTGTTATTTTCCAATACAGATCGTGGCAGTAGCATGAGACTACTGTAGCAAACGCATAGTAAAAGCATCAGGGCACACGTATGAAAAAAATTAAGCATCGTGCACGGCAAGTTCCACAGGATTCCTCACAAGGAGGAGCAAGGCGTCATTATCTGGAGGATGATGAGGAAGATGTCATGTCGAAACGATTTCGTGCAAGCCCGAGGAATCGAAGCGGTAGAGCAACAAACGCATCAGTAACAGCATTGACATCCAATTGTAGCACATTTTGCTGTGGGTTATTACTCATCTGGGTCATTCTCAACAAGGGATTACTCTTCAAGTCCTTCTGTCGATCCATGACACTCCGAATTCAATCATCGCCAGAGTATGATTCTTTGGATGGAAGATTATGGCGAGGTTCCATTTCGAAAGAGGCCGAGACAGAAAGTCTCGCCTCCACGGCGACGATCGAAGTGGTAGTCTCGCACTGTAATCTCCCTCTTGATTGGATCTCGGCATGGACCGCAGAATCTTCTGCAAAACATTCCATATCTAACATTACCATCATTTCTAAATGTGACCAGCCGGTGGTAGGAGCACCATCCAATGCCAAAATTATGAGACTGCGAAATGTAGGACGATGCGATCATACCTATGCTCACTTTATAGCGGAAAACTATAATCGATTCGTAGAAGAGGAGGATTCAGAAGATGAAGATGGTAATAATTCCCATTTTGTGATATTTCTAAAGGACAGTGACAATTCAAATCGAAATCATTACACCAAGCATCGCAGTCTGAATGAAATGCTGCAAATCAGCAAGAAACTGGGGTTTTCCTGCCATGAGGAACCTAGTTGGATATGGGGTCAGCAAAGTATTCTGAAGAAGCTTGCTCAGCCTATTTGCCAGATCTCGGCCTATCACAACTGGACTGTGCTTCAAGACTATACTCTGAACATGTATGCAAGGCTTCGTCGAGATGATAACTCAGCTTTTGCCAGCCAATCTGGATCTACATTAGGAGAGTATGCTGCTACCGTTGGCATTCAACCACCAACTAGTAGTACGCCCATAGTGCCTGTCTGCTATGGCGGCAATTTCATGGCACAACGAAGTCAGTTGAAGCGTCGTTCAAAAGCCTTGTGGCAGCACATCGAGACATCATTGAGTCGAGCAGACAATATTGCTGAGGGCCACTTTGTCGAACGTCTCTGGGGAACCTTGCTTTCACAACCGACAAACGCAAAAATGATGGAAGCAATCTTACGTCAGCAAAGCGATTCTTGCCTTGCGGACAAGAACTACGTTGGAATATTGACAAAATGAAGCAGCAATGAATAAGGATAGATTAGAGGGGCACATGATTGATGTTGGCTACGAGATCTAGCGGTACAGCCATGATTGTCGAAAGTCCTATATTAGCATTCATTGCACTTCGGTTGCAGCTCCCGAAGAAGAATCCGTCAGTGCAGTGCAGTTGAAAACCAAAGGATGAACGGAGAAATTCAGAAGCTTCTGCAGTTTGGCTTTGGATGCTTGCATCTGAAACGGTTTTAGATTTCGTCCGATCGACTTTTGGTTTGCAAGCAAGTTGGAGAAGTATGAGTACCGCATGATTGTGGGCAGTGACATGCGGCAATAGTTTTTCCAGAGGGGGCCACTGCTACTGTAGTGTACTGAATTCTAGTGCTACTGCTATAATAATTCTAGTCTTAGTCCCCAAGTGCAACCTACGTAATTGGCATTCGAACTGATGTTTCCTTGACAAATGGTGTCTTATCAAAAGCTTCAAGTTCGGGGATACATTTCTGTTGCTGGTTTTATCCCAAAATGAGAATTTCAATTTGTCTGATCAAGTAGATCTCGTTGCCCATCTATCAAATTGCTTCAACGGGTCTATTCTTTTGCTTGTTTCGGTTTCTAAACATGGACGTATTCGTATTAATAACCCTTTCGAATCAATCCCGAGGTGTCAATCCAAGGAAAAGAAGACCGACTTCACCAATCAGCGGGTAACAGTATTGGTTCGTGTGTTCTGTGGAACACGTGTTCGAAAGTTCGGATTCAACTTCGTTTGGATATCGTTTCATCTGCCTCAATTCATTCTACACATTTATATATACCGTAGGACCTAAGCCAGCTCACAATTTCAAATCACAAAATATTTTTTTTAAAATATTTGGAAGAAGCAAGATGTCCCTACAATCTTACTTTGCAGCACTCCAGAAAGAGTACAACGTCACTTGCGTTGAATTCGTGGCAGATCAAGCCAGAGGCGATGGAAGAAGACGATCAGCATCATCATGTGTGCCATCATCCTGCTCGTCAACGACATCAGATGGCGACGACGAGTGCTGTCTGAAACAGAGACCATCCTTCTACACACGTTCGGAACGACTATCGTCGGCTCCCAAATGTCCTCTCAGATCAAGTGACAGTGAAATAGTCACCGTGTTGTCACAAGTTGAACAGGCACTTGAAGTGTTGAGCGCGTCATTATCAGAGCTATCATCATGAAGGAACGATTGAAGGGATCCACGCTATTTTGCCCGATACTGCTACACAAACATCGAGGCACCTTTTTGACAAACACAATTTTATCAGTTTGTATTTTCAGAACACATAGACATAAAATATAGAAGAAAAACGAACAAGGATTCCTATGCAATACTGCTCTATCAAGATGCATCTATAACGATGGTCACCGACGGCAGAAAACCAGCCTTTCTAACAGAGATGCAAGGGGCAAAGATATCGAAAAACTCATGCTTTGTACTAAACATTATATTTTGGCATCCTCTAAGGCATGTTGGAAGTGCAGTTTGAAATTTACAGAGTCTGTGCCCAATATGAGGTGGGAACTTTTCTGACCTTTCAAACCGGTCTGCTCCTTTTTTGCCATCCTTCGTTCAAACGTCCAACTTCAAACTACAACTTGAAGTTCAACTACGACACCGTCTGATCCTCTTGACACTCTTGATCACTCGTTTCGATTTGCCACGTAATATAACTTGAGTCGTTAAGTAAATTCATACGTGGTTTTTGATCAGACAATTCTTCTAGATCTTTATCATACATACGTCGTGCAAGTTGAAAGTTGCAGTGGGAGCATATCCATGTCGTGTAATTTGCCGATATTATGATCGTGCAAAGATGCCCATTTCATAATTTCTCAAAATACAATGTTTGCACACAAAACCAACACAACATTCGATATGATGTCTCTAGGCTCCGACTTTGAATCTTCAGCCTTCCTTCCATCCATCCCAGAAGAGGAAGATGAGTGCTTGAGAGAGCGACCTTCATTCCTTTCCACTTCGGAACGGCTTTCTTCAGCACCAACGTGCCCAAGAAGATCAATTGACAGCGACAGTCTTGTTGCGTTGCTCGCACAAGTCGACATTGAAAGTGTCTGAGCTACCGAGCTTTCAATCATCAACCAGCGAATCATCGATCTGGTTGACCCCCCAGCACAACAGTATCAAAAGCAGAGTGGTGGCCAAAAGCAAACCGATTGCCAACACAATGATGTTTCTGCACCGTGCAGCCTACCAAGGAAATTAAAAGCACAACAACCACAGGCCACACAATGAAACATCGACCGCAGCTAAAAATGAAACGCACAATCAATAGTATAGAATCAATAAGAGATAAATACACTCTACACCGATCAACTCCTCCTCATCATGCAATCATCGTAGGTATACAAATGGATCCATACTGTAACGGCGTGGCGTTACTTTAGGATGGTGCTCATAAGATTCCCTCTATGTTTTGAACCTACCATAGGAGAGAGGTGGAACAAACACGGTTCCGGTAGAAGAATTGCCAGTAGAAGAAGTACCGGAGGAATTACTACCGGTACGCCCCCAATCGGATGGCGATGCTATTTAGCGGACACTTGCTTCTATCAAGACAAAAATATAAATGTTTGCGGTAGGAAGGACTATTAGCTCTGATAGCTTGCAAGGAAGGGAACCAATTCTGTGGCAAGTACTTAATGCTTGAACTTAAAGCGTGTAAATGGAACAAATATGGCCCAAAATCTCGCAATGAAATAACAACTGTGTTCTCATTGGATCTAAAGACAAGCGCGTGTTACATATCAGTACCGTACACGTCTTTTGATCAGACCAATGCTTCAAGATCTTTCCGTTGTTGAATTTGCAGATGTGGCAGATACTTTACTGTAGCATCCCATATCTTCACTATTTTTTCGACACAATCCACGGCAACAGCATTCAATATGATGCCTCTAAACTCCGACTCTGAACCTTCTGGTGCCTGCCTTCCATCCATCCCGGAAGAGGAAGAGCGTCCTTCGTTCCTTTCTACTTCAGAACGACTCTCTGCAACACCCACATGCCCAAGAAGATCAGTCGACGGTGACAGTATTGTTGCTGGATTGCTCGGCGCACAAGTCGACATTGAAAGTGCCTGAACGCTTTCCTTCACCTCAACCAGTGAATAGCTTTCCTCCATCCATGACTACTCGATTATGATGATCCCATCGATCAATGATCGCAGAAAGAACGACTTGCAACGACCATATACATCAAAACATAGTATGCCACACGGCGACAAATCTTCCAGAAGTCGTGCGAGCCGACCTAGCTAAGCAAGAACATAGAATAGAGAGATTACATAACATAAATAAATACAATCTACTCAGCCAACTCACAACAAATCGTACCGAACCAGCATAGAATTGACATGAATGCAGGTGAAGAGAATCTGGACTTCTTGCTACTACTACTACTAGATCACGAGACCAATCATACCACTTCGCCAAACGTAGCACCATTTTACCGGTCTGAAGCCGGGAGAGAGTTGCGAGAAACAAGGTCCTGGTGGTAGTCTACGGTCTAAGATACCAAATGTAGTGGGCAGTAGTGGCGCCATTGAAACCGGGAATAAGAGTACATCCCAAATTCTCAGCCAGCTGTTTTTCGAGACGAACCAAGAGTTCGGCGGGGGCTTTTGTCAATTTGCTTCTTGCTGCCAAGTCGTCAGGCAGAGGTGTTTTCCCGATACGTGTTGAGCAACCAATGAAAAGAAGGCCCATCTTGATAAGAGTGACACTTTATTCCGTTAGTTAAATGCAAACCCGTATGTATCATAGGTACGAGGAGGAGTCAAAGTCCTTAATTCGGATTTTGGTTCCTCAACTTCGGAATCTTTGATACTTTCATTCTGTCGAGTTAAAAGTTTTGAATTCGTGCATTCGATCGAATTCGGATTTTCGCGTCACGGGTTCATTTTCTATTTAGGGATGAATCAAAGTCCTAAGTATCAAAGTCATTGAATTCATTCGGATTTTGGTTCGCACATTCTGGAAAATGGAAACTGCACAGAAGATATTTTCAATTTACCGGTATAATACCACCCAACAAGAATTCATACTGGAGACACAATTTTTTTTATATAAAAATCATCAACACACCAAAATGTCCCTGCAATCCTACTTTGAAAATCTACAGCGAGAACACAATGCTACTTGCGTCGAGTTTATCGCAGATCAAGCAAAATGCGACGAAGGAAGGATACGTTTCCCAGCAGCACCATCCCTGGCTGTGCAACAACAACAACCACAGCGACCTTCCTTTCGCTCAGACTCGGAACGACATTCGGCTGCTCCAACATGTCCACTGAGAACCACGAGTTTTGAAGATTTGGTACAGCTATGTCATGACGAGGGAGCTGCTCTCGCTCTAAGGATGAAGAACTTTGCACTCCTGAACGACAAGGACGACACTAGCACCACCAATAATCTTGTTCTTGTTGCACAGCAATCCAAGAATCATGAGGAGCATGACGAACTTGAATGCCGGTCTTCCTTGAAGCAACTGCAACCAGCATCGTCGCCAGCAAATGTTGTTGTTGCGAGGTGTGGATAATCTACCGACCATGCTTGCGACGCTGTACAAAAATATATACATAAGATTTTGATAAACCAATACATTGATCAGCCCATTTTTACAATTGATTCATTCGATGATGAGCCATGTACATGTACCAGGTACTGTACGGTATCGGTACGTGTACAGCATGTGCAATCGTATCTGAAATTTGGAGTGACGACTCCAACGAGTCGGAAACTTCCGTCCTTCACGTGACTGAATTGAATAGTGAATGACGTGGTAGAAAGTGGCGGTAAATCTCCACATCTGTACGACTGCATCACCACCATCGAAACCCGTTGAAAATGTATCGACGACACCTGTTTGTACTGTAGTGAATTGCCAACACAGCACCAATTACCGCTGACTGGGCAATTCACTTTCGAAATCATGACTCTTGTTTCGACCTTCCTTTTCTCATAATTGCCAAAAGCAAACAAAACGATAGCACAATCAATCATTGTCCTGTCAAATCAAGAAACCAACATCAGAACAAAACAACAAGCACTAAAAAGTATGAAGACTACATTCACCACTCTCGCAATCATCCCAGCTACCTTGGCCTTTGCTCCACAAAATGGAATCATGTCAAAGACTGCGCTCAAGGCATCCGCCGCTATGGGAACTAACAACAATACCAACAACAACAAGAAGACTCTCTACGATCCTCTTGGCCTTTATCCAGCCAACTCTCCTGAACGAATGTCTGGAGCCATCAAGCCTCTCGAGGCATTCTCTGAACCAGACAAAGCAGTCACCGATCCTCTTGGACTCTACAGAGACGAGACTGAAGTCTCCTCCTCGCTCGAGATGTCTGCTTCGTTGCCCTTTGTGACTCGCCCTTCCCATTTGGATGGGAGTCTTGCTGGTGACCGCGGATTCGACCCATTCAACTTTGCTGCGGGAGAAGGGTCCCTAGAATGGTACCGCACCTCCGAACGAAAGCATGGACGAATTGCCATGCTCGCTGCTGTCGGATGGCCGATTGCCGAACTCTTCCACAATACCATTGCGGATAATGTTGGATTCCCTTCCCTCTTGGCCAGCGGCGATCGTGTGCCATCTGTCTTGAATGACGGCCTTGCCCACGTCCCCTTTGCGCAATTCTGGATCCCCGTAATTGCCGCAGCGAGTGCCTTGGAGATCAGCCAGTCTTTGGACCAAGAAGAAGCCCGCTACATGCTGTCTCCTGAGAGCAACTACAATGCTCAAGTCAGCTTTGTCGAAGAAGCGGAGGTCTTCAATGGCCGTCTTGCCATGCTGGCGATTACTGGATTTGCGATCCAAGAATTCTTGTTCCAAGATGCCGTCGTGAATCAGTTTCCCATATTTTTCAAGCCATTCAGTGTTGCTATGGAACAGCTCATGAACTCGGCTCCCATCTCATTGTAAAAAGCACAATTCCAAGAACATGATGGACCAAACTGATCATGTTGTTTTCAGTTAGTAATATTGTATGCTGCAGTTTGTAAATAATAAAAAATAGTAAAATAAAAAGTAACAACTCTGATACCAAAGTGTCGTCTATACTAGAAGAGACTGATCCTACAAAATACAGTCTTGATTATTGTTTGATAATTAAGGCTAATGCTGCATTCAATCAAGTTTATCCGATTTTTATACTTTTATATGAATATTTCTACCCTGTATTCATTCTGATTTTACCGTCTTCTTGTGCTAAGCTTGTTGGCATGGTGTTAAAACATGGACATGCTGAACTCATTGTCATTGAGGTAGTCGCTCATTTCAAATCTCAATCGTAATGATGATGATGATGATGATGGTCCAGCAGCAGCATCCTCGCCCTCCTTATTGCTGCGTTCTTCACAGAGTCCAACCGTGGACAAAGAACTGAAAGATGCATCATCCTTTTCGTATGGAGCTTGTTGTCTGGTACCAGAGTCGGCCAATCTGGTTTGGTTCGTTCGAGTGTGGAGATCTTCCATCAAGGATCGGGAGGAGGAATCATGTAGTTGTCTCCTTCTCGATTGTGCTCCTGCGAGCAAAGATGATGATGGTCTCGATTCATGACCTGCTGCTCTTTCTTGATTCCATAACAACTGCTGTGGACCATCTTGCATTTCTTGGAGGTACAATGACAATCTTGGGGAACATGTATATTTGTTCACTCCAGTACGACCAGAGGATTGGTTTTGAAGATAGATGGATGCTGGTCGTACGGACTTCATTCGGATGCTGGTGGAATAGCTGGAGGAGACACTGCTGGAAGAACCCAGGCTTTTTCGAACTTGCTGGTGTTGTTTTTGTTGTTGCTTGCGTGGGAATTGAAATCTTTGGAATAGTTTTGTCATGGTGAAAGTTTGTTTGTTTGTTCGTTCGTTGTTGTCGTGTTCTGTTGGTGTCAATTATTTTGTGTGACGACCACATGAGTTTGAAATTTTTTTTTCTTCTTCCAAAAGTAACTAATGAAAATGACTCACAGGAGTGACCAAAGAAAAGTATAGATCACTTTCAAATTTTATTCACTCATTGTCAGCAAATAAGGTTGAATTATGAACTTTTATTATGACTTTACAATGCTTGAAGATATCAGTGATATTGTACTGTTGTACCGGTATGGTATACCTTGAGTGAATGCTGGTCCTTGTTTGTAATGTGGTGGGTTGGGATGGAGCTCGGATTAATCGATCAATGTGTGGGACTGACTGACCAACCGCCTGCTGACTCACTCAAGTTTCAAGTTTCCCGCCAAAAGAAAAATCGAAATGTTTTATCATCGGCCATGCTGTATGCGCAATATGACCTACCGATATATTCATAGTATATTACACAATATATAATAATAATTCCTCCTACATATACAAACAAGTTCCCAATCCATTGAACGAAACGTCCATCATCAGAGAACAACTGAAGGAATAGCTGGTGCCATGAGTGGTGAGCTCAAAATCATCACTATTGCTAGTGGCGGTGGGGTCTATGCTATTATGCTATCAGCAATCACGTTGAATTCAAGGAATTGCTGGAATTGCTGGACGCAAAGTTCTTGGAGAATGCTGAAACAAAATTACGGGCGCTTGGATATGCCTCGCTAGCTGATGGAGGAACTTACACGGCTAAATCTAGCATTGCCACAAATGAAAACATCCATTAATGGCAGGATAATACAACAGCAAGAGACACCAAATACATCTGCAGCCCTTCGCCAAGCGTTGAATCAGTCAATGGAAAGCCAGCAGAATCCAATCAATGTCAGAAACAACGACGACGAAGATGATGGTGATGATGACGAAGTCAACAAGAAAAGACCAGCTGAAGAAACGACTTACAGCAAAGCAACAACAAAAAAGCAAAAGAAGCACACGAATAAGGATGAGAAGAAAATGAAGCACACGAACGGGGATGAGACAATCGTAGTAGTAAGCAGTGATAGTGATAATGATGCAGGATCACAAGCGACAAATAAAGACACAAATGAGCAGCCATCTGATGAGCCAGAAAAGGAGAATCAATTGAGTGAGGCGCTCAAGCTCATGATAGATGGGGATTTCTTGCGTGACCAAGATAACCATGAAGAAGCATTGATTGTATATAGAAAAGCGCTTGATATTCGATTAGAACTACTGTTGGGAACTCGCCATAGTGACACTGCTCGATCGTACCACAATATCGGGGTTGTCTTGGACAATCAAGAGAAATATGACGAAGCATCGAAGAATTATCAGTATGCGCTGGACATTCAATTGGAAATCGTTGGCAATCGTCATGAATATGTTGCCGACACATATTACAATATGGGAAATGCCTTGGCAAAACAAAATTTGCCCGAAGAAGCACTGAGGAGCTTCCAAAAGGCACTTGACATACAGTTGGAAGTACTTGGCAATCGTCATGAATATGTTGCCGACACATATTACAATATGGGAAATGCCTTGGCAAAACAAAAGTTACACGAAGAAGCACTGAGGAGCTTCCAAAAGGCACTTAATATACAGGTGGAACTACTTGGCAATCGTCATGAAGACGTTGCCCACACATATTACCGCATGGGTGGTGTTTTGGAGAACCAATTCAAATAAAAGAAATCATTGAAGATGTATCGTCAAGCTCTCGATATTCATATAGAAGTCCTTGGCAAACCTCATGAAGATGTTGCCCGCACATATAACAGTATGGGAGACGTCTTGAAACAGCAAAATCAACACACGAAAGCGAGTATCATGTACCAACAGTCTCTTGATATATCTCTTTGGAAATCTACGGCGAGGGCCATACAGATGTTGTAGACGCACGCAAGAAACTGACACATGAGTGCTTGAGAACTTGGCGGAGATGAGGTGTAGATTGTATGCTAGATTCCAGGAAGTGCTGCCCTCGTCGAAAAAAAGCTCCATGAAAATCATTATGGATCCAGACCTTTTGAAAATCAATCGCATTTTACACTAAAATGCGGAAAAACAAGTCGAAAAGGAGGTTATTACTTCCATAGTTACAGCATCAGCCTCAGGCTAACATCACTACTTGTCATCAAACATCTGCTTCCACCTAGGTACTAATTGAAGTCTCCAGACGCAAAGCAGATGCTTATATAGCACGATGACAGCTTTTGGTTTGGAAAGAAAGAAAAAACGTGTCGCGCCTATATTGTCGGTATAGTATGGCGAGATGGTGCCATTGCAAAACAAAGTGAAACAATTTCATTTACAGTACAGCTTTTGATATATATAATGTGAAAGAGAACTTCTCCCACCAAGAGTGTCTAGTATCATTCCGTTCAGGCCATGCACCAGCAGAGCTTGTCCTTGGTCTTGGTCAGTCAGTAGTGTATGTGAGAATAATAGTACCTGGTAGTGACTCTTCGTATGTGGTATTCCTACTTTAGTGGGCTCCTTGATCAGTCTTTTTAACAAGCCAAACCAATAGGCAATACTGATCAGTCCATGTGTGATATAATGCTTTCCCGCCGGTAGAATCATGCGGAACCTACCTCTTCAGACTCTTTGCGATGAAAGGATTTTGGTGCCTCGGGCAAATCCAGATTATTTTCTTTCATTTTCTCTTCTAGCTCTTCGGCATAGTCCATGAGAGCTTTGTATCGTTTGTGAGTCAATTCCGTCGTCACTTCAATGATTCCATGTCCAATCCGAACAAATCTCCATACACGAGCAAAAATGATCAATCCCCCTAAACTGGACAGTCCAAGGTCTTCATGATCAAAGTGGAACAGGAGTTCCAATGTCAAGCTCACCACAATGATAATGTAGTCAAACAGATAAAAGACTTGTCGGCAAAAGACGGAGGGTCCCAAGGCAATCAGTTCCAGATGAATTTCGACGAAAAAGGTCGATAAAATCGCAATCGTCATTGCAAACAATGCAATCTCGACCGAATGAACCGTATGCCACTTGTTCCCATCGCAAGATCCATATCCAACAGTGGTTTCGTATCCACTTTCACACACTGGTTCCGACGATGCAAGGAATCGTTCGGCACCTTCTGCCGCCAAAGGACAACAGGCCAAGCAATCTCGCTCAATGATATTGCAGGGTGGATAGTGACCCGTTAGAAAGGTTTCAATGAATAGAATGACCACATCCTAAAAGGAAACAGAAAAGATGCAAACGTAGCAGGATAAGGCATTCGAAAATCCTCTTGAAAATTCAGAATTCAGAATTCAGACAATTTTAGTAAGACGTACCAAAAACAATAGACCCATGAGAGTATATTGGACTTTGTGATTGTGCAGTATTCGTAGAATGGCAGTCCTCCAATGAAACTCGCCGTGGGTATCCAGCATGTGCTCTTTCACTTTCTGGAGCGCAGGAACCGCAAAGTTGATACCTGTGGTTTGCAGGCGACTCACACCATTGGCGCGAATCAAGGTGTGGGGTCTTTCGCTCCTGGCATTGTGTATCTTTTCCATGTTGATGTATTGTAATGTTGTGCAAGAAGTGGTACAATAAAATAGCAAATCAGCTGAATGGTTCCTGGCGAAATATTCAATATGGTAGATCAGAATATTGAATGATAGAATAAGACCCCATCATTCTGCCCATAAAAAGGCGAAGAATTCGCAGACCGAAATTGCACAACAGGAGATTCTAAAAAAGAACTTTAAAAGGCCTGAATTTGAATTGAATCTTTGGGCCGGTACAATAGCTGCGTAGCAAATACAGTACATGGAGTTGTATTTTCCTCCATGTGTCGATGATCCGAAACTTCAACTGCATGTTGCGCAACCCACATCAATAATGAGCGCATGCATCATGATGATGATGGCTCACTTTTGTATCGACAGTGCCCCAGCCTTCCGACCTTTCCAACACTATAAAAATCAGCATCCATCATGACCATCAAAACACACCATGCTGAAAGACAGCGAAGCAACGAGATTCGTTCGTCGGTAAGTAGAATAGGTACGGTTGGATCCGGATGCCAATACGTATTTGTTCGCCATCAGGGTATATGGTTTTGCTTTCGTAGCGCAAGTCGATAGAATGGTCGGCTTGCTGCTAGCTCCAGTCGTCTGCTGTAGTCTTTTTTTATATCCAATTCATCATGTGTTTTGCCTCCATTGCAGTTTGAAGTATTTTCGCTCAGACAAAGTAGGAATGCATACATATGTTCGCCATTAGGGCTTGTCGTTTCGGATGGAAGGAGATGTTGTGTATTCCAATCGTACGTCGTACAATTCCTTAACACTGTCGCTGATTTGATACAGCCCACGGAAGGGATGCTCCAAATCGTAGCACACCAGTCCAAGCACAGAAAAGGTTGCCACCAACATGGTCCACAGTAATCGGAGCTGAATCGCGTTCAGAAATACCAGAATGTCCTGATCCGTCTCAATCAAGAATGCGAAACAAATGCTGATTGCCAAAGTCGTCAGAAGGACATAATGCAACATGGGAAATGTCGACTGCAGGGCACTGATTCGTTTGGATCTACTGTGACTCAGCGATTCGACCGCTGCCATTGCTTGGTCAGTCAGCAATCCGCAGTATCCATTCGTTCCAGAAGCAGCCGCGGCCTTGTTCAGTTCTTCCATACATCCAATCAGTTCGCTATCCGTTTGACTAATGTCCGGCAGACCAATATTCACAGTCTCGTGACATTCAGATATTAGCCGTGATGTGTATTGGAGGAGGTAAAAGTTGCATTTGTCCTGTGTCTTATTCGTCAAGGGAAAGTGGGACAGGAGATTCCGAAGCATCATGAGCTTGGATGCTTCCATGGTGATGCACAGCTGAATATCTTTTGTTCGCTGCCACAGCTTGGAGATTGTCAGACCAATTTGAATCGCAAATAACAAGGACATGGCTTTACATATATATATACAGTATATGCAAAGGTGAGATTGAGGATCATGTTCCGTCTTCAGGCGATCATCGCAAACTGTAATGTTCATGCATTCAACTTACACCAGACCACCACTCCATTGATGACAGGCGCAATTATCATGGCTTGGTAGGCCCCACCATCTACAGCTACCCAGTTGGTCGTAGTCAAGAATTCAATTGCTGCTGCAAATGCAATTGCTGTGGGATCGTACAAGCTGTAGGCAATGAGCGGAAGAAAAAACGGAGCAAATCGGAGGACCTTGTCCATGATAAGTTCCAATTCAGAAGCGTCTTCATCGTAGGCCAAATAGGATATGCTTGGAGTCTCGTCGGTATCAGATGGCGCCTCGTAGATTGCACCTGGGTTCGTATCAGCTTCGTCTGGGTCACATTCCAGTACCAACAGACACATTGGCCCATCCACGGATTCGTCATCTTCCGTCCATTGGGAATCTGGCATCTCGTCTATCTCGCATTCTTCATCGTATAGAAGACAGGATTCATCAAGATCAAGGTCATCTTCCGTTGCACTCATAAATGGATCGTTATTGTGCAAGACTAATCGATCTTTCTTCTTGGTTGAAGATACTCTCGAATAATGCTGATTGTGACGCCACCGATGACCGAAAATTATTGTCTGATCAGGAGGAGCAGTGTTGTATGCAGGAAATGTTCTTGCCACAGAAGGCTGAAGAGTGAAACCATCAGTCAATTGGAAAATTAAGATTGTTGCTGAAGTGATGACATTATTTCGTATACTCAGAGGTTGATTCTTCTGTATCATATTTCAAGGGCTACAGGACTATGTTGGTGCAATTTATTCTCAGAATTCAGCGCCAAATGTTTTACTGTTTCGGCGGGTGTCACCTCGTTTTCATATTATTTATCGACGTTGCAGTTCATGACCCGTCTCACCTCGTGACTCAAGAAGACTACACCACGTACTACAGAAGTGTTTTATGGTGCCACGGTTTCCTTGGGAGATGTGAGGAAGTACTGTACCCTGTAGAGCAGAAATGAATCATCATACGCCCAGGCACTAACAAAAAATGCATGCAGAGATTGGGATAGCCGATGTTAGATCACATTCTACACAGCGGAGTCATTTAGCTTATGCATCTGCTGCATATCGTCGTTGAGCCACGTGTTAGAAATAGAAAATAGGACGACTATCTTCAAAATAATCATTCAGATGCGAGTCGTCATTAGCTCTGCATTGTCCATGTGACCAATCAGGTCTACATGCACTGATGACTATCTACTTCAGTTCCATAACTATAGTATCAACTATTCTGCACTCAATCAAAGTTGCAACAACAATCAATCTAGATGGTTTACTGAAAAGAATTGATGCACTCAATCAAAGTTGCAACAACAATCAATCTAGATGGTTTACTGAAAAGAATGAACAATTCTTTTCACTAGTACGTTATTGTTGGTTGGTCACTTTCACCAAGGAATCTGGAATCTCAAAAACCTCAGTCAAATATTATACCGCATATAGTATCTAACACCACGCATCGGACTCGATCGTCCTCCTCAGGAACGCACCACAACGTGCAACGCACGCAATTTAAATGTCCGTTAATAGTTAAAAATGGTTTTATTGGAAAACGTTAAGTGTCCGTTTCCATTTTAGCGCGGGCGCACTGTGGAAATCGGGCATGCCCCGTGCGTCAATTTGACGCAAAAACGGGCACGCCCCGCGTCAAATTAACGCAAATCTGCGTCAAATTGACGCAAATCTGCGTCAAATTGACGCAAATGTTTGCGTCAAATTGACGCGCGACGCACGAAACTGCGTCAAATTGAAAATTGTACCGCAAGTGTATGCTTATCATAGTTATGGATCCAAATACCTTGCAATGATTGGAACTTTTTCATCTTGCAAAAGACACATACTACCTCGTTTTTTGGTGTTCAACAAGAATGCTGGATGCAATAAGTCCCTAAACAATTGAGACAAGGAGAGCAGAAAGATCCTGAAAGGAATAGGACACATAAAAATTATTTAGAGCTAAAAAAAATCCTCAAAACAATCTAAATGGACAGATTTCGGGCGTGCGTTTGACGTTGTGGTGCGTCCCAGCCAGAAGCACTCCTCTCCTCCGCCGAGAATCGTTCATGAGGGTGGCATTGTGCAGGCAAGCCGGTTGGACGAACTTGAAACTGGCAAGAGAATGACGCCAGGTCCGCTTAGTCAACTGCGCATGAGCGCGTCACAGCGAAGGAAGAGGTGCGTGGCGGTTAGTGCGGAGTGAGTCAGACGACAGCTAGGACCCAATCTTGGAGTGAGTGTGTTTCACGATCGACACGAGGCATTCTTTTGCAAGAGCTCGATACGACGATGATGACAGGGAATCCAAACCCCCTGTCAGAGTCTTTTGAGTTTTTCCCACCATCCCTCCCTTGGTCTTTCATCCTTTGCACCTTTGCACCTTTGCTCGGTAGCTTTATTTGCCGAGTTTACTCTCATTCATTTGATTCGAGTCCACTATCGACTCTTTCGACTCGAACATGCTTCACAGACCATAAGCTAATTCCTTCGCTTCAGGCTATCTACCCCCGCGTATCAAACGCGGTATTCGTAGCTCTCTGTAGTGGCGCAATACGTGTGTTTATATACCGGTACAAGGTCCTACACATCGTTCTTATCGGGACATGAGGTAGAGGCAGCACCAGGTTATCTGCAGGATAACATCGGATCAACGCGTTGAGCGAGTTATTTGGTTCTGCATTGGTACCGGTACGTTGCGTGTTGGTAAGCGCTCGAACTTCAGGAACAGTTCCGTTGCCTTCCAATTTTGACAAAGGACTAAAAAGTTTTCATTCTCTTTTCCTGTCAAGAAGGTTGAGCAATCATTTAACAGTTTCGTATTTTATATATGTCTTGCAGAGGCGCAAAATGATCTGTCACAAGGTTAGTAATGTACCACCACGTGCTTCTGTTATTGTGACTTTCATGCAAAGTAACAACATATATGTATCTACATATCTAAACTTTGAAAGCGTTGCGAAGTATTCGTCGTTTTGAGAGATTTCAAGTTCGCCCTCATTTTTCTGAGACATGTAAATTTCCACGGACAGTCTCACTTTCTTTCTCCTTCAGATTAGATTAGATATCATGATGTCGTTACAAGAAACTTTGAACCTTAACAATAAAGCAGTGGCACTGTACCACTCCAATGACATTGGTGGGGCTGCCAAGACATACTACGCGTCACTTTGTCTCGCCAAGGAATTGTTGCAGAGCACTGCTCCTCTCCAAGAGAGTGTGAACCACCGCGCCCCCACACCGTTTGCCACTACTCTGCCTCAGCATGAATGCTTTCATACATCTACTGAAGTTTCCAGCAGCATCCCCATGCAAGAGAAGTTCTTTGTGTATCAAAGCGCATTGGTGTTGCAAGAAGCTCCCTCATTTGTTGGTGTGGAGCATCGTGTGCAATCCATGAATATCTACTGCGCTGGAATCTTGTTTAACACGGCCATACTGCATCACCAAAAGTCGATCAAGACTGGAATATCGGCATTCATGCATCGAGCAGAGCAGCTTTACCAAGCAAGCCTTCAGCTCATTGTGGGGCTTCCACGATCCAACGATACGGTTGCCCTCATTGCATTTGCAGCCACTAACAACTTGGCTCAGATCGAGTTTGAGAAGGGACTGGTGATGCAAGCGAGTGAAAGACTACGATTCCTCGTACATCTACTGCGCTCATCGGAAAATACAGCTGCACGAGTCTTCGCGGTTGACGAGTTCCACGGCATGCTATCTAACACACTGTTGGCAAACGGCGTGTCGTCGTCACCAGCTGCCTGAAGATTTTTGAATAGTTTTGTAACGATTAAGATCACACTTCTGTAAGTACTATGAGGGTTGTAGCTATTTGATCAACCATAATTCTGATGCCTCCGACTTCCTTGAGAAATCGTAAGGGATTGAACCAGTACGAGTAGCGGGGTACACTGTACCAGTACGAGTTAAGATGGTTTCGCCGGTTTCTTATGTTGGTTGCGGGTGGTACTGTTTTCCTCTTCCAACCACGGCACTTTTGAAAAGTTCCGCAAAGTCAGCTCTCTTCCGATCGGCACAAACTAAAAGGTCCTGGCGAACGCATATTTACAAGAAAGTGAACACAGTACAATGAACATTATACGTCCACGGACACTGCTTCTACCGGTACGTTCATGGATTTCTAAAACTAAGAGAAGCGATTTCGCAAAGGTACCTACAGAAGCATACCTGAATCTTATTGTGGTTCCAGAAAAACAATGGTATCTCCCCCCTGAATCCCGGAGAGGTAGCAGATATGCTTGGCTTTTTCTGGAGATCTTATGGACAATACAAATGTTTTGAGAGAAACCATACCTCGGATATCTTTGCTGCAGGTGTCATCGTTTTCTGATCTGATCAACGCGAGTGAAATTCAAACTTCACATTTTCTGATTTGGTGAAGAAGGATGCGACAGGCATGGCACCTACTGTACTGGTACGGTACCCTGGTACAGTAGTGGATGATCGTCAATAGCCCACACGCGCTCCTCTGACTTTTACCTCCATATACCGGTACTGTATGTGCATGTGTATGTGTACCAGGTACGGTGTACCTGGTACACATACCGGTAAGAGTTCGAAATCCAGGAACACTTCCGTTGCTCACTACAAGTAAGGCCTAGAAAGTTTTCATTCTCGTTTGTTGAGAAGGTTAGGCAATCATTTTTTATATGGAGTAAAACAGAGATACCATATATATATCACTTGAAGAGGCGCAAAATGATCTGTCGGAGTAAATGTATTTGTTCTTGTGACTTTTGTTTCATTTAAAGGTACCAAAAACACTCAGAAAGAGTGAGTCTTCCTCCGATATTTTGAAAGCGTTGCGAAGTTCAAGTTCACCCTCATAAATTCTCTTGAATTGCGACAAATCATTTTTCTGAACATAAAATTTCCACGAACAGTCTAGTTTTCTTTCTCCTTCACGTTCTCATGATCTCGTTACAAGAAACTTTGAACCTTAACAACAAAGCAGTGGCACTGTACCAATCCAATGATATGGGCGGGGCTGCCAAGGCATACTACGAGTCACTTTGTCTCGCCAAGGAATTGTTGACGTGTACTGCTCCTCGTCGTCAAGGAAGTGGTGTGAACTACCAGACCCCAGCACCGCTTGCCACTACTCTGCCGCAGCATGAATGCTTTCATACTTCAACTGAGACATCCATCAACACCCCCATACAAGAAAAGTTCTTTTTGTATCGAAGCGCATTGCTTTTGCAAGAAGCGCCCTCATCATTTGTTGGTGCGGAGCATCGTGTGCAATCCATGAATATCTACTGTGCTGGAATCTTGTTTAACACGGCCATACTGCATCACCAAAAGTCGATCAAGACTGGAATATCGGCATACATGCATCGAGCAGAGCAGCTTTACCAAGCAAGCCTTCAGCTCATTGTGGGGCTTCCACGGTCCAACGATACGTTGACCCTTATTGCATTTGCAGTCAGTAACAACTTAGCTCAGATCGAGTTTGAGAAGGGACTGGTGATGCAAGCGAGTGAAAGACTACGATTCCTAGTACATCTATTCTGTTCATTGGAAAATACGGCTGGACGAGTCTTCGCGGTTGACGGGTTTCATGGAATGCTATCTAACACACTGTTGGCAAACGGCATGTCTTCGTCACCAGCTGCCTAAAGAAAATCATTAATTTTTGGATTATCTTTACTGTACCGATAAAAATGCACTTTTGTCGAGCAACATCATATGGTTGTAGCTATCTGTTGGAAGTCGTACAGACGACTCCACTGAGTCAGATAGTGACGAGTCTAAACCGTCATACATCAACCGTGAGAGTATGAAGAACCAGTCATGGGCAGATGATGTTCGAAAGATGAACGATTGAATTACAGTAGTTTAAAACTGCGTAGAGAGTTTTGGGATGACCGAAAGCATGAGTTTGCTTTGGTCATTCGAAAACTCTTATCCCAACTAAAGCAAGTTTTATTAACGACTTTAAGGTTCATAGTATTAGGACTACGTTACGCCGAACAACTGAAGACTGATCGTCTCAGAGTATCGTAGGGTCTTTTATTATCTAACAGCTATCAAACGACTTCGTTTCTAGTTTCATTGACGAGATTCATGAAAAGCGATGCGCTCAAAAGGGAAAATTAAATCGAAAATTGGGATATTAGACTGTCGCATGGTTTCGTCGCTTTCTTTTTCATCGACAGCATCAAACCAACTTCAAGGAGCTCATTGAATCGGACATACCTACTACCATCATTCGAATCTTCGATCCCTTCTTCGATCGTTTACACATCTCGTGCCAGCATGAAAAAGAACTGTCTTGGCAGCCGGTCGGAAATAAAGCTGAAAGGCGTTTCATCAACACGTCAGCTGGAAGAGAAGGAGAGCTATTGTTGCGACATGATTCCAAAGCGAGTCAATCATTTGTGTAATACAGAATGAATGAATCTTTCGTCTCTTATGCTGGCAGGAAGCGAAAGTTCGGGATGCAGAGGCGCAAAATGATCTGTCGGGGAAAATATTGTTCGTGTTTAGCTATATTTTGATTTCATGACATTGTCATTGCACCGCAATATGAGTATAGTGCGATATTCGACACCGATGGGCGTTCTGTTCGATTTTTGGAGTCTCAACTTCAACCTCATAAGAAGTCTCGTGGACCTCATAAAATCTCTCGAATTGCAAGGGACCACACTTTCTTTCTCCATGATCTCGTTACAAGACATTTTGAACCTCAATAACAAAGCAGTTGCACAGCACCAATCAAACGATATGTGCGGGGCTGCCAAGACATACTACGAGTCACTTTGTCTCGTCAAGGAATTGTTGAAGTGTACTACTAGTACGCCTCGTCAAGGAAGTCGTCTGAGCCATCACGCCACCAATACTTTGCCTCAGCATGAAAGCTTTCATACTTCTACTGAAACTTCCAGAAATATAACCAAGCAAGGACTGCTCTTTGTGTATCAAGGTGCATTGGTCTTACAAGAAGCTCCCTCGTGTGGTGCGGAGCATCGCGTGCAATTTATGAATATCTACTGCGCTGGAATCTTGTTTAACACGGCCATTCTGCATCACCAAAAGTCGATCGAGACTGGAACATCGGCATCCATGCATCGAGCAGAGCAGCTTTACCAAGCAAGCCTTCAGCTCATTGTGGGGCTTCCACGATCCAACGATACGGTTGCCCTCATTGCACTTGCAGCCACTAACAACTTGGCTCAGATCGAGTTTGAGAAAGGACTGGTGATGCAAGCGAGTGAGAGACTACGATTCCTAGTACATCTATTGTGCTCATTGGAAAGTACAGCTGGACGAGTCGTCACGGTTGACGAGTTCCACGGCATGCTATCTAACACACTGTTGGCAAACGGCGTGTCTTCGTCACCAGCTGCCTAAGAAAAATCATTTAAATATTGGAATAGTTTTGTAACGATTTAATAACAAAAGACTTTTGTCGAGCATTGTCATGGTTGTAGCTATCAAACGTCTTCGATTCTTGTTTCATCGACTAGCAAATGCATGAAAACGCGGAGCGCTCAAAGGGGAAAATGGTCAAGCTACTCTATACCTTCGGTAAGAACTCACTACGAGGGTTTCTCCGGTTTCTGTTTTCATAGACGACATCAAACCAACTTCAAGTACCTGGTAGCCATTAGAAGAAAAAAATGAAATAAAACCGAGTCAATCATCATTCGTGCGAAGACCGGTAGGTTCTTTGCTTCGGCACGGTAGTGTGCCACACGAACGGTACGACTAGGTACAAAATAACTCACATATATGTTGGCAGGGAGAAACCGGATCTAAATGAAGTTGAAAGGCGTTTCATGAACACGTCAGCTGGAGGAGAAGCATTTCGTAGGAGCTAATGCTGCCCAAACTGGATGAATGAATCATTCGTCTATTGTACAGCACAGAATCATATCACTACGTGCTGTCGGGAAGCACAATGGTGCCTTTCGAACGTTCGGGATGCAAGTTGTTAGGCAGAGACGCAAAATGATCTGCCGGAGAAAATTTGTTCGTGCTTAAAAAGTTATTTATTTCATGTCATCGTACTGAAAAAGGTAAGGTACGATTGAACTGCGAACGAATGGTTTCTACTTTAACTGCTTTGAAAGCGGTGCAATATACACATGACGCCGAGTGTTCGGTTTGTGGAGCCTCAACTTCAACCTCATAAACTCTATTGGAACTCATCAAATCTCTTGAATTGGGACGGATTCAAAAACTTCCACGAACAATCTCACTTTCTTTCTCGATCATGATCCCGTTACAAGACACTTTGAACCTGAACAACAAAGCAGTGGCACTGTACCAATCCAATGATATGGCCGGGGCTGCCAAGACATACTACGAGTCACTTTGTCTTGTCAAGGAATTGTTGAAGTGTACAATGACCATTCCTCGTCAAGGAAGTGGCGTGAACCACCACTCCACAAATACTTTGCCTCAGCATGAATGCTTTCATACTTCTACTGAGACATCCATCAATCCCCCCATACAAGAGAAGTTCTTTGTGTATCAAAGCGCATTAGTTTTGCAAGAAGCTCCCTCAATTGGTGCGGAGCATCGCGTGCAATCCATGAATATCTGCTGTGCTGGAATCTTGTTTAACACGGCCATACTGCATCACCAAAAGTCGATCAAGACTGGAATGTCGGCATCCATGTATCGAGCAGAACAGCTTTACCAAGCAAGCCTTCAGCTCATTGTGGGGCTTCCACGGTCCAACGATACGGTGGCCCTCATTGCATTTGCAGTCAGTAACAACTTTTTTGAGAAGGCTCAGATCGAGTTTGAGAAAGGACTGGTGATGCAAGCGAGTGAAAGACTACGATTCCTAGTACACCTATTGTGCTCATCGGAAATTACAGCTGGACGAGTCTTCGCGGTTGACGAGTTCCACGGCATGCTATCTAACACTCTTTTGGCAAACGGCGTGTCTTCGTCACCGGCTGGAAAATCATCTAATATTGGAATAGTTTTGTAACAATTTAAATTCACTTTTTGTAAAGCAGGACTATACTATATCATGGCTCTGGCTATTAAAGGTCTTCGGTTGGTGTTGTGCATCGTTTCATCGACTGAAGTACCCTTTACCTGCCTGTTGAATCATGAAGGTCACCAGCAGCAGTGTTGTTGTCGTCATCTTCATCATCATCCTTGTTGGCATCTTCATCATCGCCATCACTGTCATCTTCATTATCATCCTTGTTGTTGTCTACATCATCGTCGTCCACATCATCATCATTGTCATCATCTTCACCATCCTCTACATCACCATCTTCATTGGTGGCATCGTCCTCCTTTTTGTCTCCGCCAGCTGCATCACAATCTGCTCTTGCCTGTTTTTGTTGTCCCATGGTGCCAAACATTAATGAAGTCATTGTTTTCTTGAGAATGGTCTTGCCTTTCCGCTTCATTTTTGGGATTTGGAAAATAGGAAACCGGAAATTTGATCCTGGCCCCTTTGAAAGCGCTGGTCTTGCGCAAAGCATTCAAGGTATAACGGCAGTCTTGCTGGTAGGTCTTCTTGTTTTTTTCAGTACGTTTTGAAATAGAGCGTATAAAATCATGGTCTTATCGGTCCATTCCTCCTTGTATTGATCAACTGTTTTGGACACAACCGTTGTCACTTTAGTTAATGGGCAGCTACCTTCTTCTTCATTGAGTTCATCATCCTCATCTTCTTTGGACAAGGATTTATTGGAAGAGTGCTTGTCCTTGGCCTTTACTTCATCGTCATCGTCGTTGTCATCATCGCCTTCATCCGAGTCTTCATCATCATCATCATCATCATTGGAGTCATCATCATTGGAGTCTTCTTCCTCTTCCAGAGTGCTGGAGGCTTTATTTTCCTTGTCCTCCTCAGGGGCTTTGCTTCCCTCCACACCCTTGTCGTCCTTGGACTCCAATACCATTGGATGCGATATCATGTATTCTTGAGATACTTTATCATTTTCAATAATTGTGCAACATTTCCATTGTTGACATGAAAAGGTGTATGCTTCACCTGGAGTACACCGAAAGTGTAGAAGGTCAACATCAGGAGTGCTCAATTCCCGTTTTGCCACATTCTCAAACACTAGTAGCATATGAGTCAGTACCATCTTTGAACTCAAAGACAACGTTTCTTTCCATTCCTGGAATGCTTCAAGACTGTGGGAATGTTCAGAATTGTCTTCACATGAGCGGCGAAGACAAGGGAAAAGCATCCCTGCAGTGGAACAAAAGTTGCCGAGTGAATGCCAGATAATACTAACAAAGGGTCCATTTTGTATAAGACAGGATGTGGGTTTCCTAGTGTAGTCCCATAGCAACATCCGGCAAGGGCCTTGTCGCTATCAAGAGTGGGAGCGTTCATTTAGAGACTGGAGAAGCCCAAGTGGTCCGTCCTTCTGATTTGAAGCTGATAACAATTGGAAATAGCCCGTTTGTGGTTTGGGTCCTGTTAGAGGAAGTTTAAAGTAGGATTATTCTGGTATTTTGGATTGTCCATTTTGTCACCAGGAATATAGACGACCGGCATGAAAAGGAGACTACAAGCGCTGTTAGACTTATTCCTATTTTCATTGACAATCTTGGCAACCAATATTTGTCTGACACCAGAATCGTTGCCGATGAGTCCGGCAGCACCTTTGGCAAATCCATGTTCGAATTTGGAGATGTAGAAAGACGGTTGTGGGATGTAGATAGATGTTTGTGGGATGTTTGGAGCTGACATGATGTTGCTATGCAATTCGAATTTTCAAATCTTGGATTGTACGAAAATTCTGGTACTGGGGCGACGTAGCAGCTTTACAATACTACGCTTTTCTAACATGGTTGTCTTTTTGCTAGAGGCAGCATTGGCCCGCAAACAGGCGGAAGCAGAAAGAGAAATGCAGTCCACACCAGAGAGACCACTGGCAACCAATACTACGGTAACCCCCCCTTCTGTACCCACAGAAGAGTACAACCCAGCAGGAGTTGACTCCCAACTTTGGAAGAGTGCAGGGATACGTAAAGCACTGCAAGACGAACAAGAGGCTGACGCTGGAGCTGATGCTGGAGCTGATGCCGTGGAGCAAGAAGCTGATGCAGGGGAAACTACTGTACCACGTCCAGCACCTCAAGCACCTCAAGCACCCAATAGGGCAACCGCTGACCCTCAGTACTTGCCCAAGGAAGAGCAGCTAGAGATACTGAGAAGGAGTGCCACTAAGGAGATGATCCACATGAATTTGAACAAGTTTGTTGGCAAACGCATTTTTCCTAATGCAAAGTTCCCACTATCTGAATTGCACAACAAGGCTGTATGCAAGTTGGCCGTAGGGTCAGAGGTGGTGAGGTTAGACCAAGGGGTGGACCCAGAAGTATTTGCGGAAGAGTACCACAAGAGTGTGAAAGAACGGATGGCGGCATTGCGACTGAATTGTCACAATGCTGCAAGATCAAAGTTTCTAAGTAAGTGATTTCAATTTTTTGATATTTGGAAGAAATCTCCTGTTGGTGTCTGACCCTCCTTTCTGCAAATTCCATTTACTACCAGATGACCTGAAGCTTGACAAAGTCCCATCCGATAGCTTGGTGGTCGATCTCCTGGAAAAGAACACTGATGCAGCTGTTGGATACAGGAGTTGTGGTCAGGGATATCAAGACTACCTGACAAAGGATGGCACAAAAGTTTTGCAAGCAAGGACAAGACAGTACCAATCCTTTCATTACCTAGTGAAACGGATCATGCCATCAATCAATTGCACAAACACCAAATTTGATGTTCGGAAGCAGGAGGAGACAATCAGCAACATCTTCACCGTGAGTGACAAGGCATTTGCCCTTGTGCTACTTGAGAACTATGAGAGTCGTTGGAGGAAACAGCATGAGGATCTTAAATCAGCAAGACTCCAAGGTAAGGAACATGCCTCTATAAGCAAGGAGTTCAAGGCCAAATTCACATCAAGTGACGATGGCTTGAAGCTGAAGTCATCTGGTTGGAGTTGACAGGGAATTGAAAGCTACAATGAGAAGTTGAGTTCAATTGGTAAGTTAAGAAGGCAATCCCGCACAAGGGCGGCCCTAAAAGAGTACGAACTGTGGAAGATGCGCGGTGGAGCAGACATTTATGTAAAGGGCACAGTGCCTCCTACTGCAAACCAAAAACAGATATCTATTGCTGAAGGATCGCTAGCTGTCCTTCCTGAAGCATTGGAAAGTATGTTTGCAGAGGTCTAGCCTTGTCAATAGATTGTCATTAAATCGTCAAATAAAGCAAATGTGTTTGTGATATAATCAAAAGGATCTTTCCAATACATTCATAATCTGTATGCCCTTTTATCACCATTGACTGTCCTTCAGAAGGCAAGGAAACTCTGTTTTGTAGGTCATTGTAGTTGTCATAAATTGACAAGGATCTGGTCCTTTTAAGGCGTTGGCCATTTGATGAGATGACATGGACAATGAGAAAGAGGAAGCCACCGGATGGCTCTCAATCAAATGGGTCCACTTCAAAAGGTCTGTTGGATGTCCTTAAAAGACAAATCCGGTGGTTGGAAAATCGAAAATGCATATGATCGAAATCATGGTCAGACGGCTTCGCATCCCAAGGTTCTGCGACAAAATCAAATGGGAACTTTCCAAAAATGAGAAGGTTATTTTCCTCAAAAAGACAATTTCCTTGTCATAAAAAGGACAAGGGGTTCTCATCTATCACATAGGCTTCACATGGGGTGGTGATAAAAAACACGGTGTCCTTGTCCTTTTTACCCAATTAAACTGTCA